TTTCATCTGCCAAATTTTGGCATCTAATTTGTCTTAAAGGTCCTAGAGCTGTTGAAGTAGCCTACGGCAATAAATTTGTCACTTGTAGGATTTATCAGAAATGTTCCTTCATACTAAAAAAAAACAAACAAAAAAATTGTAAAGAATTTTTGCAGCAGAGGGAAAACCTCAGGCGAAATATTTTAATGGCCAACTTCTCCAAAAACACGAGCAGCAAATTAGATGTGGGGGCTGTCAAGTGCTGTGTTTTCACACTGCTCTGGTAAGCAAGTTCTCGAAAACAAAAATTAAACTCTCCCAAAACAAGAAAAAAAGCAGTGCCAGAATTTCCGTTTAGTCACCCTGTGCATGTGGGCTCCAACATTCAGGGCAGTCTCTACATCGCTTAACAGCACTCATCATTGACCTTCATTCTGTCACTGGGCAGTTAGAACCTCAACTGTACGTTAAGGACACCCCTTTCCATCCCTCTCCCCTTCTGCCTTTTATAATTTTCTTTTCCTGGTGGAATTAAATCTAGGAAATGTTTTGCCCTGCCTTCTACCATGCCTGTTGGAAAAGAAATGCTGAATTCTGACTCCCTCTAGTACCCTAACATGATGGGTTGATGTTTAGGTGGAAATCTCACTAGCTTATTTCTGAAAATGGAAGCTTTTCAGTGTTTCTTTCCCAACCTACAACAAGGACACACTGCAACACAAAACTATTTTTGTGCTTTGTGACAATCAAATAGATGTGCAGGAAAAGTTAGATGCACAGATTACTAAAAAATGATAAAAATGATAATTCCTTTAAAAATGCTGACAGAGCCGGGCGGTGGTGGCGCACGCCTTTAATCCCAGCACTCGGGAGGCAGAGCCAGGCGGATGTCTGTGAGTTCGAGGCCAGCCTGGGCTACCGAGTGAGTTCCAGGAAAGGCGCAAAGCTACACAGAGAAACCCTGTCTCAAAAACCAAAAAAAAAAAAAAAAAAAAAAAAAAAAAAATGCTGACAGATAAATGTTGACAGTCTGCTGTAACTGAATATAGAACCAAACATGAGAAAAATAAATGTTTCATCTGAAAACTCACATCATGATCTTGATCAAGTAAGCACACAGTTAGGGTTAGTGTGTCCATATAACTTTATGTGGTTTCTTTTTTAGAAATACATATTTATCCACCTATATCTATACAGAATAAAAAGCCTCATGTTGGGTAACAAACCAGTCATCATTTTCTTATTACATAAGATTAAGTTCAGAGATAAATGTTAGGCACTCCCAAAGCAGGGGTGACAGTCATTTTAATGAGCAAAAGACTGATTTTTGTATATATTTGTTAACCACTTAAGGTAGATGAAGTGTTGTGATTTATCTGTGACCTGGTTTCCTTATTATAAAATTATAACATCAGCAATCATACAGTCTTGAGAGTTAAGTGAACTGCAACCTAGGATAGATCTGAGAACAGGGGTCAGGACACATCTTCCAAGTTCCAGATACTCAGTACTCCAGACTTCTAAAACACAGTCATCCATTCTTTTCTGTCTTTGTGGTTCTTTCCTTCCTCTGAAGATTCTTTCTCTCTTTATCTCTTGTTTATCTCTTGTTTCCTTGCTATGCTTTTAAAATGTGAAAAAACAAGTCTGCCTGTGGTAGTGCACACATTTAATTCTTGCATGCAAAAATCATCCTGGTCTATACAGTAAGTTCCAAGACAGCAGTGCTACATAGTAAGAACCTGTCACAAGAAGAAAAAAATAGTAGAGAATCATTCTTAAATCTATGGGCCATTCAAAAAGCAGCCACTTCTGTGCTTAGAAGAATGTTCTGCATTTATTATGGTGCTTTTTCTTCTTCCTCTTCTTATTATTATTATTACAATTATTATTATTGAATCTAAATTCCTGATCTAATGTTTATAAGTAAGGGACACAGAATAAATGCTTGTTTGGGCAATAATTATATGAAGTCATAGGTTTGTCAATACATGCTTTTTGTTACCAAGTTCAGATAATTTGGAACCATTGATAATTTCTGCTCCTGACTTTTTCTCAAATGAATGTTCATTTCAGAATTTAAGGAGCTCCACGGGTTATTCAATTGTTCTGAACATATTCTGAACTAATGTACTTCTTTACAAAGGAGAACTCTGATTTTATAATAATTTTATTTATTTGTTTGTTTTTATAGGCATTTTGCCTGAATGTATGTCTGTGCACTATTTGGGCATTGTGCTTGCAAAAGGTTGAGAGGATATCATGATTAACATATACGTGGACCTCAGGGAATATCCTCAAAATGCATGTACGTTTGCAGCATTCTCCCATGCACTCCCCTCTGCTAGCTCACAAAAGAATCTACACATATACATTCACATATTCTTTCTATATATACTCACTCATTTTATACACTCACATAAATTTATGTACTCACAATCTCTATATACATGCCTATGTATATTCTAATGTATGCACTCCCCCAATATATTCACCCACACTCCCTGTGCATGCACACTCTCTACATGACTCATGTACTCTCCATATACACTCAAAATCTAATCTACATTCACACACATTTTATACTTCCACATTCAACTGCAGATGAAATTCTAAACAGTCTTATTAAATAAGAAACACAGAGCCAAATACAGAGGTAATAGCCAAAGAGATCAGAGAGCCATGACTACCTTATCTTACCACCTCTCTGCCATCACTTCCCCAGAGAGAGCTTCTTCCTGTCTGACTTGTGTTTTTATTGCCTTTATGTTCTGCTTTCTCATTGGCGCTAAGCCCAGCCACATGACTTCCTCATCACTGCCTGTCTATACAGACCTCCAGGTCTATATGGTTGGTACTGGGATTAAAGGCTCGTGTCACCACGCTTGGCTGTGTCCTTGACCTCACAGAGACTCTGTCTGCCATGTGATTGGATTAAGGGTGTGTGCTACCACTGCTGGACTTCTGCTTAATGGCTATTTGACCTCTGATCTTCAGGCAATTTTGTTTATTAACATGCAAATAAAATATCACATTTCATCACAAATAAAATATCACCACATTCAACACAATAAGTACATTCAACACAATAAGTACACTCTATTATGCTCATATACAACTTTTGTCAAACACATATTTGTGCTTGTATGTGCATGTATGCACACACACACACACACACACACACACACACACACACACACACACACACAACCTAGAAGGTAAATTAAACTTCTGATTAAACTTTCTCCTCTGAGTTACAGGTACAAGAAAGAACAAAACAATAGAAGTTCTTATTTAGCTAGTGTAGTGAAAGGCACATTACTCGGGAGATGGATTTTCATGGGATATATTCACTATGGAGAAATACATATCTAGATGTCCCGAGGTTTTTATATAGGGCAACAATTAAGCAATGAATTCAAGTATCAAAGGAAACTTTGTTTTCTTGGCCATGAAAGTTTTCTCTGGCATGAACATGGAATTAGTTCCAGGAAAAGTGCAGATTGTTCAACTATCCTCACCTAAAACTGCCTAACTAGATACTAGCAGTTGAGTATGTAAAGGGTAAAACGGGGTTCTGCTAACTTAGGGAGGTACATATTGTCTCTGGCATTATAACATTTAATAAGGAACTTCCGCAGCTCTAGTTGACTTTTGCCATTATTCTTGGAACTTTCATTGCATTCTTAATGGGAAACAGTGTGGTATTACTAGTAAAATATGCAAAGATATTCAGAATTTTGCCCTAAAGTAGATTATGCTAGAAATCCAGGCAAAGGGGCTTAACATAATAGTGTACTAATAAGTCAGGTCTCACAGCATTCAAAAATTTTAACTTTTGCTCTGTCCTCTTCAATTCGATCTATGTTTCCAATCCCAGGAATATATTTCTGGTTTTAAAATCTTAATTAGCTTCGTAAGGAGCTCAGCCTCCAGGCAAAGAGACAAACTGAAAATTCGATCCAAGCCTCAGATGCTGAGAATCACAAAAAGGAAGACAGAGGTTCTGATGTGTCCTCTGTACTATCGCATACCAAGGTCCACCAGTGCTTGCAGATCTGCCGGGCAGCCCCAGTTCTACAGAGCATAAAGAAGTCAGGGAGATTGATCAAAGCCTTTTTAGGATGAGAGGAGTCATCCAAGTGAACATAGATATAGGTGGTCTGAGATGACTCAACAGAAAGCAGAAACCAGAATTAGGTTTGGAGTAGCTATGTCCTCATTATCCAGTAAGGAGCACGTTTGTGAGTCAAGGGGTAGAAAACTCAGGGAAAGACAGAAATTCGACTCTTGCTGCTTCCTTTGTGTGTATATGAGATTTCAATTGTACAATTTTAAATCATTGGAAAATGGGCTGTTTCTCAGTCCTAGAGTCATCATAGGCATGCACCAACTGAAGCCTTTGCTTATTGAACATGAAAAAAAATGGGGAGGGGCTAAGCAATAAACAGTCAAAATAACTACACTTCTTGGCAGAAGACTAGTGATTAGATTCAGCAATGTGAAATGCATAAATGTATTGCTTATCTCCCTATACACGTTTCCACTCCAAAAATAGTACCATGTGCAACCTAAGAGAGAGGCTCCTTCTGAAGACTTGCTTATTTTCATCAGTGAATGATTTTACAGAGTAAAATATCAAGAAGTATTTTTAAGATCTCATTCACTTTGTATGTTGCTCCCGATATACAAATTATGTCATTTCGAAAAGGAAAGGTTTTTCATATAATAGACTTGGTTCCCTAGCAGAGTGAACTTTTCATGAAAGCCTGGGATATAATTGAGTTTTCTTTCATGTCTTTAAAGCTTTTTAAAATTCATGAATTTCCTTATCATTTTAGCAGCAAAGCCAAAGTATTTCTAAATCCTTTTTGAATTTGGTGTTTAACATTAACATATTTAAAATGTTACAAAAATAGATGGAGTGGAATACATCTTACATAAGGAAGCATTTGATTTCTGATACATTTTAATGTTACAAATAGGTCACTTATTCTCTCTCATTCTATCCGTTTCGTTACCTGTCACAGAGCTGTCTAGATTGTCCATACTGGATCCAGGAGTCTGGTCTAGTGCTCTGAGGGGCCTGGGGATTTCTATCGGTTCCTCTTCATCATCAGCATCCTCATCTGGAACATCTGTTTCCAAATCAGAAATCAAGGCCCCGGACACATAACCTAATGGTGGGACTGGGGGCTGTGGAGGTGGAGTATTGCTTTGAATGTGCCTGGAATTTAAATGGAAAGAAACGAAACACGAGAAGCAATTCATTAACATTCAACAAAACTGTAGTTCATGTCAAATGGTATGTTATGGTAATTCATACTGTCTTCCATATTTACTAATGCACAGAACTTTCTTTCACTTCAGTAAAGACACTGTGATATGGATGCATGCCTTACCAAATAGCATAAACTACCAAAGTTCTTGTTTGGATGTTTATAAGGCAACACACAGAGATGAAAATGTATACCAAGTATTTTTATATCAACAAATTATTCATAAGAGAATAGAGAAATTTGTTACCAATCATTTTTACACCCCCTCCCCAATAACCAAAGTTATTTGATTTCCAGGTTAGTTTTAACCTATGCAGCATGTTTGAAGGAAGTTTGTCAGGTGGGGGCCTGATTGCCCTGACCCTGCCTCTGGCACACTTCCTGTCCTGTGAGGATTGCTTTTGGTATGATTCCCATCACATCAGGCTGAACAGCTGTTCCATTATCCCAATGTAGATTAGATACAAATACTTTGTGCTCTCTAGGTATTTGCAATGTATCTCAAGAACTAAGTCTTAAGGGGAGGGACTGAATTTATAACATAAGGCATGTTCAGTAACTTCTTTTGGAATGAGTGAAGAAGTCTAATCCCAACATTATAAAATTAACAGACCATGCAGGGCCATTTGCTGATTAGAAAATATTTAAGGAAAGCCTGAGTGACTTGGTTCTCATTTTATGATTAACACAATGTGGAACTGGATCCTGAGGTCCACTTGCTGTGCTGTGAGACCATTAAATATTTCCTCCTAACCTATAAAATGCTCAGTTTGAGGCAACTCATGATTATTTGTAACTGTCAATAAAGAGTGAATGTGTTCCAAGTCTGAACATTTTTTATTGACTTCCTACAGAAGTATTCGAAAGGCCCCTCCCATGTAAGAGTTGTTGCAGATAAGTACAATACATTTTCTTTTTTTGCCACTGGCTTTTAAAAAAGTTGAAGGATTATTTCTGTTCTCATTTGCAATCTTTTGAGAAAATGTTTCCTTTTCTAAAATTTGTTTAATATTCCCCTGTGAATTACATCTGTGAATTTACAAATAATTGTAAAATTAACAGTATTCTAAATCCTTCAATGATAAAAAGTCCAAGAATGTTACTTCTGGACATCACTTCAATGTGGCCAGATTTAATCTCTAATGTTACAGAACAGGTATTTGAGCCAGCATGCAACCCCTTGGCGTACATCACAACCCACTCATCTATACTTAGGAAAGAAAAGCAAGTTTTACTAAACTCTGTTAGACTGAATATTGAGCTTTGACAGGCTCACTTTGCTATACATGTGGTATCACATTCAGTTTGTAAATTGAGGAAAGAGATCACTACATGACAAATAAGAGGATATCAAGCAGAGTGACATATGTTGTTCATTTCACTATAATGCTATAGATTTGGGGGATGGGTTGGGATAGAACAGACCAACACTGTAATCCTATATATAGCTGTTGGAATGTCTTGATGGGAAAAATTACAAAGGAATGAAAAAATGTATTCATCAATTTAAGCAGAATTAGAAGTTAATCTGAAATATGAGATTAAAGTATACAGGATTTTTAACTATCTTCTAGTAATAGGAATTGTTTTGAACATTTCATCAGTTAGTATGAAGAGCATCCCTGGAGATGAAGCTGGGAGCTTTTATATTTAGAGTTCTGTGAATGTGATATGTAACCTAAAGTAGGAGGCACTTCCAAATCACAAGAGCAAGCAAGGTACTTTTTGGGTAAATAATGAATTACTACCCTCATATGCATATCTGCATCATTCAGAATATTGTAGATTGTGTAGGAACATTCTCAAGGCAAGAAACACGGTCTAGTGTATAGGTATGTTGAAGATATGGAAATGACTTAGTTCATTCACCCATTCAGGAGATACCTATGAAGCAATTAGTCAATGGAAGATTTTAAGTGTGACAAGACATCAGGAACCAATTCAGGTAAAAGTCCAACCCCTTCTAAACGTTTTCAGAAATTAGAATAGAGACAGGTAGTTTGCTAAGGGCCATGAAATGTGCAAACATTTAAATCTTAAACCAAACATAAGCCGGATAGCTTCACCATAACTAAAAAGGTGTAGACTTTGTTTTCTAAAACCTAGTTGTCGTCTCTACTCTCCTAAGCGTGTTCTTTCTGGTACAAGAGTCTGTGGACTTGGAAACCTTGGTTTACACAATATTTAACAGGAGAAGTCATCAGAGGGCTTCTACTCACAAAGAAGTAGCTTCATCTCTCAGTGATCGGACTACTGAGGTCAGCCATGAGAGAAGACAACTTCAATAGACCCAAGGCCATGTCTCTAGCTCTGCTCCCATGTGCTTCTTGGCTTAGTAATACTCCCTGCATTTTGCTAGTGCTGGGTAAACAGGGCTACCTGAAACTCCAATGAGAGATCTCTGCCTTTCAAATTCTTCAGAATTTTGTACCACATCTCTTCTCTTGGCTTATTTGAATTCATTGTATTTTATGAGAATAATTTGTAACTTTGATTATAGAAGATCCAGTGAATTCTTAAAACTGTTTTAGCGTGTTCTAAAACTTCAGAGTGATTTTGGGGACTTTGTGATCATATACTTAATCATAATTTAGGGTATTATTAGGAAGGTCCCTTCCAAATTCATATGGAAGCTAGTTATTAGCATCACTATCATTTTATATATAGCAGAAGTATACATATACATGACATATTTACCCAAGTCATACATCTGTAAGACCCATCGGTCTTTATGGAAGTGGGTCTAGACTTGGCTCTCCTCCATGGAATTCCATACTAAGCAATCAAAATCCACTTGGAGGTAGGATCTAGGTATTATTGTATATTAATTTGTCCAGGTGATTCTAATATGAATCAGAGCCGTGTTTAAAGTATAAGTAACAAGATTGCATGACTTCATAAGTCAACATAAGGAAATCCTATGTCTCATCAATCAATTGTTTTAAACTTAGTTGTATTTTGTACAAAGGAGCCTTATGTAAAACAATATTGTTTAAGAATAAGCATGTTTGACTATTGAGAATATATCTGTTGATTATGAAAAAATAAAGGGCTTCTGCTCCTCAGCCAAAAACATGTTTGTGACAGCATGGAGTGTTTTTCCCTATTTGGGTATCTTCTCAAATATATACTTAGGTGTATTTTAAAAATAAGCTGCTCATAAACACCAAAAATGATGAATATTTCACTATGAATACGTCTCAGTAAATAGAGCTAGCCAAAAAACGGAAAATCTTCCATCTCACCTTCAAGTATAATATAAATCAACAGAATATACTTTTTGATAGGTCATATACACTGACATGTAGATCAGTATTGAAGAAAAACAAAAATTCTCTAAAAATCATGATGCTTAGTCCTGTTTCTGTTTCTGCCGTATTTTCACAGAACGCCTAACAGACTTCCATCTGTGATTCATGGATTTGCAGTTTTATTAGGAAAAAAATTTAAAGTGTTCCTGCATTTCTGTTGAAGCATTTACTGTTTTTATTTTTATTATTTTTCTAATCCACTTAATTCAGTTCAAACAGGGTCTTTTAATAACTGACACTGTCCATAGTAATTTTCAGAAGCATGCATTTACATAGTCACAACCACATACAGAATTAACCACAGGCACTTTAAAGAATGTGAAAGGAGTCCTTTATTGTGGCATTCAAAACAAGTTCAAGGATAAAATAATTGGAGCTGGTTTGTGAGTGAGAAAGGATTCTGTCATTGTCAAAAGCACTTCAGTCTGAATCCCTACTTCATTCATTCTCTAACTAGCCTAGTGATGTTGGTCAGGTTATTTAAATTTCTGTCACCAGTTTCTGTATATAGATAACTAATACATATTCTAAACCACTTTTCATCCCACCCACATAGATTTATGAGCATCTCTGCTTAATATACTTCCCAAAACATTTACATATGTAGAAAGTATGGGGCCTGTGGCTAACAAGGAATATTTACCATGTTTGTTTTGCTATATCAAACTGATAGGCCCTTGTTAACTCATCCAAGTGAGCCTGAAGCATGGGTTGCATCTCTTCCCGTGGGGATGGAGTAAGAGTGGCAGTGGACTGCTGTCCAAAGGAGATAGCAGGTGAAGAGGCCACACCGCGAACAGGAGGTGTTGGGACCCTATCATCATCTTCTTCCAGCTCATCTTCCATACCCTGGTGCAGATATGTTTGCACTGGTAACGGTGGGCACCAGCTGTCACTGTCATAGCTGAAATTAAACAAGGAAATATGTTCACTGACACACACACCCATAAATGTACAATTATAATAGCAATAAATAACAACCAAATGGTGTCTAAAAGGTTTCAAAAGTCTTTGTCTTCCTTATCACATTAGTGAGGCTATCATAGTAAATCACCTGACTATTGTTTTAGTTCTTATTCTCAATTATATCTACTATCTCAAAATGTCTCAACTTATTCTTAAAAATACCTTATTAGCTAATTGTTACCACACAGTTAAAATTGGCAATCACTTCCCACCAAAGTTACTCATGTGGAAACACCGATTTGCTAATTAAAGACAATTAATGAAGACAATGCTTGGAGATGCATCCACCTCCTTTTCTTGGGCATCGTTGTGCACAAACAGAATATGCCAATGATGCTGACTGACCATCTAACACATGTTTAGGAATTATATTTACTCTTCCACACCTATGGCAATCTATCATTCCATATAATATACCTGTCATCAATGCTTGGTGATAAAACCATCAATAATCTTTTATTTCATTAAATTTATCAATAGAAACTCACATCATGTTTATCTCAACATATAGTTCCAAAAATTTTGTAAAAAAAGTATTTATCTAATTTCAATAAAAATTATTTGGCACAAAATCTATCATTTTATACATTTTCAGTTTATAAAATTTACTTTGAAGAGTTAGATGGCATATCAAAGCTATTTCAGAAGGTATTCTGGGTCAAGAATATAGACTAGTAATACATTAAATTCTAAATAACAGTTCTATTTACGCCAACTCCATAGTCCTAGTATTTCCAGCAAACAAATAAATCATAAGATACTTAAAAAAATAAAAGACTTTTCAAAAGCTGTGCTTGCCAAAAGGCTAAACCAGTAATTATAGTTTAGATGAAAGAGAGGCTCACGGAGCCATGCTTGGCACAAGGGAGCTGTGGCTTCTAGAAGACAGGAAGCTGTTGTCTTCAGTGATGTAGCTACAGGGGAGTTATTCAGGCACCAGTGGACAGACTCACGCCATGCCCATGTTAAAATTCTGGTTAAACACAAGCAAAAGTCAAACAGAAAGACATATGAATAAGAATAACTCGCCATAGGCTCATAGATTTGAATGTTTGGTCACCAGGTAAGGGCTATTAGGAGGTGTGCCCTTCTTGGAAGAAGTGTGTCACTGGAGGTGAACTTTGAGGTTTTAGAATGCTCAAGCCAGAACCAGTGTCTCTCTCTGTCTTTCTCTGTCTCTCTCTCGGTGTCTCTCTCTCTGTCTCTCTCTGTCTCTGTCTCTCTCTCTCTCTCTCTCTCTCTCTCTCTCTCTCTCTCTCTCTCTCCCCTGACAATCTGGATATAGAATTCTCAGCTACTTCTCTAGTCTGCCTATATATCATCATGCTTCCTACCATCACCATCCTGATAACTGACTAAACCTCTGAACTGTAAGCCAGCCCCAATTAAATGCTTTCCTATATAAGAGCTGCTGGGGTCATAGTGTCTTTTCACAGCAATAGAACATTGGATAAGACAACATGGAAGGGGGTAGAACCTTGGTAAGAGGAATGGAGGAAGTTGGTAAGTGTATGATAAGATAAGAGGATGGAAGGATGACTGTGCAAAGTAGAATCAGCTGATGCGACTCACCAGCAAAAGAGACCACTGTAGAAATAGAAACCTGGAGAGCTCAAAATGTCTGGGGTCTGGCAAGGCTCTGTTGGCCAATAGCAACAGGAATATGTTAAGTTACATATGTGCCAACCCAGAGGCAGGTACTGAAGAGCTCAGTTTCCAAAAGAGATAAGGAGAGAAAAATATTAGGCATAAGTAAGAAGAGGAAGGAATGTGTCAGTTCCATAGGACCTCATCACTTCCAGGGAGCTTGGAACAGTGTCACCTCTACCTGTCCAGTCTCATTGGATCCCTAAAATCTTATTTCCACAAACAAAATATTCTCCATGTAAAGTTAGTTTTACCTATGGCTCCTTTGTTTTGTGTCTGTGGTCACTTACTTTTTCCTTGCTGAGGCTACATCAATGCTTTTATGTTTCAGGGAGCTGAAACTGAAAGGCCCGCTTTGGGAGCACAGTTTGGAAGGGATGGCTGTCCCTAAATGTCTTTTATACTATTGTGAACAGCAGACACATTGCAGTGTGTTATCTCTCCAAGAAAATGCTATGGGCTAAATCTGTATTCCTATTTATTAATTATAAATATGTGCCAGTCTGTACTGAAAAAAAAATACATTTCCTAGCACATTGTCATTTTAATTTGTTTTATGGAGATCACAGTTTTCATTTGAAGAAAGAGTTCCATTGCTCTAAAGTCTGTAGCCAGCATCCTTTGTTGCACTTAATGCTCTAAGGTTTTCAAATCCAATCAATCCTGCTGACTATTTACAAATTTATCTATGAAGACATCAGAACAGTGTAAGGGGGCCATTTACTTCTCTTCATTCTATTATGTTCATTTAACATAGTTAAGCTTCAACGTATTTTTTAGTCTGAGTACATCATTTGTCAGCAAGACTCTCAAACTGAAACTAAATGGCTTTGTTTCCTTTTTTCTTTACAATTTTGTAGCCTGGTATATTTGGCCATAGAAACAAACCTATTTCAAACAAGCTTCCCCTCTCCAGGTTCTCTATTCTAATCTTACAAGCCTTCAAGCTAAATTCTAAATTTATAATTTGTAAAACTTACTGACAGCGCTAATCAGTGCTCGAGTAGTATATCACAGATTTGGGACTGGCAATCTTATTGAACATTGATCTGAAAATGGATTTTAGAATTCCATTGTTGATTCTTTTACTCATTCAGTTTAATATTTAGCTTTTCATATGTTTATAGTATCTTTTCTTCAAGGAGATTTAGTTCCCTTATAGCTGGCCAAAATCATATTTATTGACATGGAAAGAGCTTCATTAAAAGAAAGTTTAAGTTTCTTTACATGACTTATTTATTTGAGTTTGAGTGCTACATTGAGGTAAGAAATACATATTTAGATCCTAATAAAATTATTGCCCGTTTTCAGTATAGAACGTGTTTACTGTTAACCATTACTAATAGTGAAAATCAAGTTTACTCTGAAAAGTTTGTTAAAAAAAACCAATACATTTTGTAGCAGAAATTAATAGTTGTATTTTCAGTATTTACCTTGGCACAATTCCAAAGCCATTATACAAAGTACTATATATTTAGTATTTCAAATAGGAATAGCCCATTAGTATTAAAAGTATTCCTGCCGGGCGGTGGTGGTGCACGCCTTTAATCCCAGCACTCGGGAGGCAGAGCCAGGCGGATCTCTGTGAGTTCGAGGCCAGCCTGGTCTCCAAAGCGAGTTCCAGGAAAGGCGTAAAGCTACGTATTCCTACTTGATGAACAATAGGCAATTCTTTAAACAATCTAAATGATGTATAAATTTAGAATATACCATGAGTAAGACAAGTGAGAGAAGCATGTGCTATATACATTATTTGCAATGATAAAGTGAAAAGCTTTAGAGTAAATTATACTTGATTCATTTTTTTATTCAAGTAATACTGGACAAAGGAGAGGCTATTTAAAAACTTTGATATTATGGAAAACTGTAATAGTAGGTAAATAAATTACATAGTATGCTATGTTACTTAAACCAATTTTATTAATCTTTCATTAAAGTAGGGTGGATGCTATCATCAATATTCCTCTATATTCTCTGCAAAGACAATTGGAACCACAGTGAATAAACTTGATCACCCTTCATGGACAAGGAAGTCTGGAAAAAAGTGCATTATTCAATGTGGTTTCTACCAATGGAAGAAAAAATAAAAAGTGGAAAAAAATATCCCAAAGAGTTGGAGACTAACAAGAGTGAATGAAGGAAGCCAAGTCAGGATGTAGTTCATATCATGTTATGCAGAGAACTTCTCATCACCTCCCTGGTATTCATATCTGAATCCACTCCTGAGGGCTAGATGGAAAGTTTTAGTGCTGTTACCAAAGAAAGAAGAGAAGGGAGCAGGTGACTATGGATATATATATATAATCTCTGTTTAATGGTTTCCTTCATATTTTATACCATCCACTTGGTTCAGGTGGATAATGCTGGGAATGTTCCAGCAAAATGGCCAATATGAAAATGAAAAGGGATGAAAACAAGGCAGTGATGGTGGGCATAAGGAAGAAGGCTAGAGTCAGGAGAAAGCCCTGGTTGGGAACAGCAATAATGTTGAAAAATATAGTCTCTGGTTACTAATAGCAATTTGTAGGATTGCATGTCTTATTTAAGCCATACGCTTCTGATATTTTTTGCAGTAACCTACAAAGTTTACAAAAATACTCCCAACGGACAATCAGAGCTCTTTTGTCCAACGTTCCCAAGGCAAGTCCTTGTTGCCTGACATTCTGATAGCCAAGTATGAAGCATCCTATTATCTGTCTTTCCTAATGAGTAATGATCAAAATGACAGCAAATCAATGCAGCATGTGAACTAACTTATTAAAGGCCAGATATAAATACCAAATTACTAATAAAAATACAATAACGTTCAACTCCGGCAGAAGCTTGCCAATCTCTAATTGCAAGAACAAAGCAAAGTGCCTATTTAATTACTATTGAATTCTTCCATGCAGCCTATGACTATAATAAATATATTGCAGTCAGAGCTAGGCCCTAATACATTTTAACACATTGCCTTTTTCAAACAGAAGAAGCATATTAAGAAGGCAAAACATTTGCACCATGGCTACATGATTGAATTAACATTCAAATATCATTTCATTTGAACAATGATTGAATAACTCCTGTTATTTTGTGCTGTGAAGAAAGAAACTGGCCATGGAAGGCTTAGAAGGCCCTTAAGAAGCAATACTACAAATCATAATTAGTAACTAGATACTATATTTTCAACATTATTGTTAATCCCAGCTAAGACTCTCTCCTGACTATCCTTCTTCCTCATGCCCACCATCACTTGCTTTTAACCTATTCCATTTCCATGTTTTCTGGCTACAATTGTCAACTAATAATCCTGTAATAACCCTTTTGATGAAATATGTAGCTCTTGTTTTTTCATGAGATTGTGAGATATTTATATCACTGGTGTGAATTAAGATCATAGTCACAATTTAATTTTTAAGCCAGGATAAGAAAGGGTGGGCTCTTGACTGCTAATTTCAAATGGAAACATTTTGATTAGTTAAATAATCATTATTTGCATATATATGAGCACTATTTCCCAGAGAAACAAATGAAGTCTATTGGAGAGATAGAGAGATGGAGGAAAGATTTGTTTGTTTTGGTATATGAGAAGACAATATACATATATATGCTATATTATGTACATATATACAAAGACAAAAAAATAAGCAAATGCATATGATATTTACATGATTTGAACAAATATAAACCATAATCCACTATGTAATTAAATTACATTTAATATGTTAATACTTCTGTGTAAAACAAAATTTCTGAAGAAAAAATTCTCCATATATTTTGTATTCTTGGTTTGCATACAAGCCTAGTCAAAATACTAATTTGCAAATTGAAAGCAATACACAGCATTTAGAAATATTAATTTAGGTAAAATATTTCATTTGATTTTGTTTTTGTAATAAAAACATTATCCATGCCTTTGTGTTTCAAATCAATCACCACTCAAACTAACAGGAAACTAACTCATGGGATATTTGAGAAAGAATAGAGAAACATCACATTTAAGGACCATCAAAAGAAATTGTCTAACTTAAAAAGACTTTGCTATAGAGTGTGCATTGACTTGAATCTCTTATTGTTCTGTTCCCTAAATTCCCATCAAAGCTGATGATTAAAGTTCTACCCACTGGTCAGGTCCCCACAATTATCCCATTGTGATGCTGCTCTCCTGGTGGCGCCCTGCTACGGCCAGACATCAAGTCATTAGGAAGCTGCACGGGATGATGAAGAAGGTTACTTTAATTCCCTTTCAGCCCTTCTCCGGAGTGCCTCTTTCGTTCACAGAGCTGTGGGTCCTTGCTTTCAAACTAACAAGCAATATTATAAATGGAGGCTGATTATCATGATTGCAGACAATCTAAAGCACTTGAGGGCCAAGGATTCTCACTCCTCAATACGGGCTGTTTTATATTTATCAGCTGAAAATATAGAGAGAGTGCAAACAGTAAGGGAGAATGCAATGAGCATGGAGGGAGGGGGCCAGTCAAATGATTAAGAAGTACACAGCAAAAATGGACAGAGATGCAAGTGCAGCCTTGGCCATGTTGTCAGAATACCCCACCTTCTTACCCATTTTCCTGCTGTTCTGCAGCATAGTGCCCCAGCTCTGTCCCAGGAAGGGGCTGGACTGGAGGAGGAGGTAGAGGGACATTAGCCCAAGTCGATCCGTTGTTTTTCTGTCCTTTAGAAGAATTCTTGTTTTTCTTCTTTTTTCCACCTTTCCCACCTGAAAGCAATAAACACATGTATTCAGAGAGGCTGATTATCCAAAGAAACAGAGTGTATCAGCTGCCAGGATGTGTTAATGTTTTCAAAACCAGAATCAGTATGTTAGACACGATTTAAAAAAAAAAAATCTAAGCAATGAAATGAGACGATCAGGAAGAGAAAAACATTTTTCTATGGATTCCACCAGTGGCGTTGTTTCTCCTAATTCATTATCTGCAGAAGTGAATGAACCAAAAAACATGGCCACTGTATTAAGAGCACATTTATTGATTTATTCACCTCTGCTACTTCCACATTTCTATTGTTAGACAAAATAATGGTTCATAGCAAATTCTTTTAAATGACACATTTTACTGTGTTTATAATGCTCCTTTACATAATCTGTCTCAATGGACAATTCAGTGTCTAAGGATACAAGCTAAACTTTTCCATTAGAATTTATTCAATTTAATTAATCCAGAGGAGTAATGTTCTCTCAAAAGCCACGGGTAAAAAAAAAAAAATCAATCAACTACAATCTGGAGAATATCTATAAATGCCTCACCAAGGTACATTTCATAGACTTTTTGTTTAATGAATAGCAGCATTATTTGTGTATATCATGTTAAAAACTCTCAACCATTTTAATTTTAATATTTCATAAAATTCAAAATGAATGGAATATCATGGAAATAGAATAATTAGGTTCTGTACATAATTTTTGTAATACAAATGAACTCATGCACAAATATAAGTAAGCCAGCAGTGTATGAACCATATTTGAGAGTACATGAAAATTAATGAACTATGAAAAGAAAACATCATTTGAATTATGCTATATATTTCATTTTTCCAATATTAAATAAATATAACTTCTTCATTAACAAGGATGGTACCAAGGTTGATTCAAGGATGAATATTCTTTGAGCAAAGAAGCAAAAGATGTTTCAAGCGTACCTAAGCATCTTATATGACTCCTATATCAGCTTATATGCATGTGCCAACAGTGGTATTGACTCCTTGCACTGAATCTTTATTAAAGTAAATGTTGTGAGTGTAAGGTATTTATAGCATTGCTATCTAGTCATACAGATGAAGCTCATCCATTTTTCTTTCTCCTATCTATTACTAATCTGAGTTAGCAAAGTCAGATTATATACTATATTAATAATATATTGGAAGCCTAGCAACAGATAACACTGTTACACTAGATATGCACATTATTGCACATTTTCTACATGCCATGCATGCCTACATTCCTATCCATTATATAGTCCCAGTACACAGTATTTTCACTTTTTGTTTTAATTCTCTGATGGAAGAAAAGGCCTGACAGGGAATGAGAACAGGCATCTTCTACACTCAGCCTGTATGGGTAAGAGCTTGATTTCTGGACTTGAGGGTTAATTCCTTTATGATGTCATAGGTCAGTCAGTAGGTGTCATCTCAATTTCCATCTACAGAAAATGGATGTTTCTAGTTCCTTGAACTATCTTTAGAAATACAAAAGACATTGCATGAAAAATATTAAGTACAGAGTACCAGTCATCATTACTCTCTTCCATCTCCTCTCTCATTTAAGAAGAAGAAGAAGAAGAAGAAGAAGAAGAAGAAGAAGAAGAAGAAGAAGAAGAAGAAGAAAAGAATCCATTTTCTAGCCACCTCTGCAATATTATCCAACTTTTCCAGGCTCAGTGAGTATGCCAGAAACAGACTGAGTTTCTAATAAAGCAAAGAGTTTACTGCTGAATAGATCTTTATTTTTTCATTGTGAAATGAATCTTTGAATCCTTAAGCCGCTGAAATCATACACAAAGACCAAAGACTACATCATTTTTCATAAAATTGGAATGCAAATTTACTATTTCAAAAGGAATAGCTTGAGCAACTCATCTTTCCTTGCTACCCCCTAGCTGTACTTTGCCTTTTGTCTTTGATGAGGACCGTCTGCACGAATTCCCACAGTCCTTTTTGAATTGTCATGTGGACACCAAGAGAACTGAGTGATGAAAGTGGGGAAGATTTTATGTGTCCATTTTAAAGGTGAGATACTGTGGTTCTCAGGGAGTGCTCCAGGGTCAACTCTCAGATTCTCGTAGAGAGAAATCTGCATTCACCGGGCAGCAGCTTGCCAAGGGCCAGCGGTTTGCCTGGTGTCTAACCCAACTGTCCTTCAGTCCTTACATAAATCCAAAGTGAAATTCTTACTAAAATTCCAGAAAGCAATTCAGCACCTACTGTTGTAAACAACAGGCATTAAAATGTGCTTTGGAAGTAGCTGATTCTTGAAGGGAATTTCCAAGGGCCTACCACAAAACATCTGTTTCCTCCTTTTCTAGAAATGTACAGTTATCTCTTTTCTCATTTTGAATAATCAGGAGTCCTCATCAACATGACTGTGTGTGTGTTAGTTCTGAGCTAAGTGATGTGATTCTATGACAGTGGCGAGCATATGACCTAACCTAGTAATTAAAGTTGTTTCTGAGTTCTGGATCTATAGTGGAATGAACCACCACCTACTGCCACAACCTGCAAATAAAAGCTCCATCATTTTGAGTGAGAATTTCTTTCACTATGTTTTTGAGGCTTTGCCCAAATATTTGACCTCTCTCTTCAAGTCAAACTGTAAATATTTATATTATTTGTATATCTAACAAATGATCACTATGGAAGGAAAACTATGAAAACAATTTATTTTAGAAATAAATGAATAAAGAGAGGGAAGGAAATGAGTAGTAGAACAGTTGCCGAGGATGCATGAGGTCCTGACTTTGACCTCATCACCACCCCAAAATATATTGTATATAAATTATAATATATATTAAATTGAATGTATACTCTTTTTTTTTTTTTTTTTTTTGGTTTTTCGAGACAGGGTTTCTCTGTGTAGCTTTGCGCCTTTCCTGGAACTCACTTGGTAGTCCAGGCTGGCCTCGAACTCACAGAGATCCGCCTGGCTCTGCCTCCCAAGTGCTGGGATTAAAGGCGTGCGCCACCACCGCCCGGCTGAATGTATACTCTTTTTGAAAGTTGGTACATTGAAAAAATTCAGTAATTTTCACATATATATTATACATACAGGATTATTATTTCTGTTATTTTTTTTTTACAAAACATCTCAGTATTACATTTTTAATAATAAGACTTTTTTTTCTTGGTTTTTTTTTTTTTTTTGGTTTTTCGAGACAGGGTTTCTCTGTATAGCTTTGCGCCTTTCCTGGAACTCTCTTTGGAGACCAGGCTGGCCTCGAACTCACAGAGATCCGCCTGGCTCTGCCTCCCGAGTGCTGGGATTAAAGGCGTGCGCCACCACCGCCCGGCTTAATAATAAGACTTTTAACAGAAGTTTTAGAACTTCTAAAAGGGACATATTGTAAATTATTTTAAAGAATGAAATGTATTCACTCAAATAAGTCAGAAATGAAAGTTTCTTAATCTTTGTGATTTTAAAAACATATTAACATCATTATGAACAGATCATTTACAAATGCTAAATCATGATAGGATCAGCTAGTCATAGGGCAGTTTAGTCTTACATCTGAATATTAGGAAACACCCTTATGAAGCAGAACAGAAACACTGAACTCCATTTGAGTTTTAACTGAACAGTAACCTAAAAAAGGGATAATCAAAATTTCAATCTCAGCTACTGAAAGTGCTCTCTGTCTCTAATTTAAGTAATTTTATATTCAAATGTAGATGAAGTATTTATCATAACTCCTAGACCTGTACATTCATGTCATATGGGATGTTACAGGGCTCAACAATGCAGCAAGCACTACTGCTTAGAATTACTTAAGAAATAACTTTTAAAAGCTGGTGACAATTGACCTATACCAAATATGTGCTGGCTCCCATGTCTATAGACCCCATGGCTTATGGTATGCAGTGTTCTTTATATACAGTGCTTGATATTTACATATCTTTAATGAACTGAAAAGGAAGCTTCAGCAAAATTACTTTTTAATTATACAGAACAATTGTGGAACTAATTATACAGAAATGACAGCAAAAATGACATATAAGGTCATTCCTAAAGTTCCCCTGTATTATTCAGTCACTTTAAATTCATAACAGATGTTTAATTTTTTTCATATTCTATAACGTATCTAATCCTACCAATAAGCAAGAAGAGCAATAACTCTTTTTGGAGGAAAAAGAGGGCATTAACATTTCGGTCTAAGAGGATTCTATTTCCTGAGGAAAAGTAATTTGGTAAATGTAATCCTAGTGGTAGTGAAAGTTAACTATTCATGCTCTTGAAGTCCATGGGAACTTCAACACTCTATAATCCTTTACTATTTATATGTATTTGAAAGACTTCATGTAAATGGCATATCATTGATCTGAAGAGATAAAACAAGTTGGGTGGCATGATCAATTAGAAATATATAGATAAAATCAACAGTCACATGGTGTGAATAAAATTGAAAAGTAACATATGTCTACCACAATGTCTTCCTGCTACGGGTGAAGAGTCTCATGGTAGAACTATCACTGTTACATGTTAGGGTAGAAACGCATTTTACCATAACAAAATGTATTTCCACCTCTGTGTTGGATTGTCTGCATCACAATTAGTTCAGCCCATTTCTTTCAAATACATGCTCAAATTTACAATATAAAAACAAGAAGCCACATAAAATATTATATGCACAGCTTTTAAATTGAGTGTTGATAATTTACCATGTTAATATTTCATATTTAGTACAGAGTCACATTGACAGACAAAAAAGCCTCTCATTTGATATTTTAAAAAAACTGATACAAAATTATGAGACTGCATTGTTCAAACATTAGTATAAGGCTCTACAATAATTTTATTTCCATCATGTCTATTTTCTAGAATCAATGACCTGGAACTGAATAACATGTATAACCTTTTCATTATAAAGTTCTCTTGACTCATAAATAGGGCTCAGGACAGACAAAATGCATCTGTTCTTCATGAGTTGTCTTTATGAAGATGGCTCTATTTTGCCTCAAGTACATCACTGTACAGTTCACAAAAGGGTGACAGCAATTCTATCCCTCCTCCTCCCACAATCAAAGTACAACTTCACTATGATCAACGACTATCATTTGATAGATAAATGCCTGCTACTGGGTTGTGATTCAATATTTCTTCAATGGTAGCTAGGAACACAGGTCATATGCTCTTGACAAACAAATATTTCTCCTTACTGTGATCAGACCAACCTGAGAGACTGCCACTCCTTTCTGAGCTGTTGTGAGAGCTGGTGGTGCTGAAATCCTGTGACTGGTTGTGTGGCATTCTATTAGACAATCCCTCAGCCAATCGGTAGTCAGGGATGTAAAGTAAGGCTAAGGGTTAAAGGGCAGAGGTCATAGTGGCATCATGTGATTAGTTCACAGCACAAGCCCATGCAGAACATGCAGTTAGCAACTCAGAAGCAGATGTTGTGGGAGAGAAGAGGAATGCTTTATCTATCCTTTCCTAATGGAAGTAGAGATGGATTGCTGGATATTATACTGAAAAATGCTAAAAGAATGAAACCAGTTGGTGTTGGTGTGTGATGGTGAATTCAGCAGTAGTGGTGGCAGTGGTAGTGATTATTTAAGGTGCTGGATACATACATGCCAGGAGAACATTTTAGCTTAGTTAGTAAACCTTGTAATGGATCACGAAATTGAACATTGAACAATAAATACAAATTTCTATCTCATGCATAAATGATGTGAAATTAATTTCTCAAGGTACAAGAAACTGACTCACCATTGTTACCCTTGTTCTGATCAGGTAGTGAATAGCCAAAGCCCATCAGGTCTGTCTTTTGTTGAATTGAGCTTTTCCACTGTGGATCAGGAAGATCAACTGCCAGTTCGTGGATGCTGTTGGAATGCAGGATCTGGGTCGTGGCATATGGGGTGGCCTGTGTTATTTGGCTGGAACTGTTGTAAGTGGTTTTGGTAGTGAAGTCAATGCTGCTGTAAATGGCTCCATCTGAAAGCATCGTTGCGGTTTTATCCCCTTGGCCTGGAACTGGAGGCAGCACGTCTGCAATGAACAGAGGGAGACGAAACTATTGAATGATGCACGGGAACCCAAACTATTGGGATGGAAGATGAAAAATAAATGTGTCACACTGCACGTCTGCACTGTGCAGAGATGGGCTTCATGAGCCAATGAAGGGGAGATGATATACAACCATCGTCAGACCATCAACCCCAGTGACAGGCGGGCTCAACTCACATCCTTCACGTCTCACTGCTTACTACATCTCTTCCCCATTTTCTTCGAGCACGAATTAGAAATTTGAGATGTTCCACTCCTGAGAAACACACTCAGTTGTTCACTTGCTTTTACAAGCAAAGAAACTGTTAGCATTTTATGGAAATGTTTCTAAGAGGGAATATACAAACTAGAGATGAAAACATCTCTTTGCACTTTATCACAAGAGACAAAAATTGTAGCTGTGGTACAGTTAAAAATGGTCCAAAATAATACTATCCTCACTATGAAATTAACACTTTTTCTGAAGTTTTAACTTGCCATTTATATTGCTTTATTTCACAGTATTGGAAATGGAGAATAAATGAAAGAAAACGGATTTCTTTTTGGTGGATAACAAAGGAAAGTTTCCACGTATAAGTTATTTTCACAATACAGAGGATTCAACTCAGAAAAAAAGGAGTCTTGGTGATCAGTGGGTGTAATAATGTATGCTAGCAGCTTTGAGAAGCAGAGGATTAGAGTTTCACACCGTACAACAGCAAAAGTAAAATTAAACTGTAGGAACAACAATGAATATCAGTCAGCCCATTCATCATTGGGGGATGTGAACTATCTTGGCATGATGCATTATTTTCAGACCTGTCATCTCTCTCCTGAGCTCATTTTCTTTTTTCCAAAGGACTCGACTCGGCTAGCACTGGTTTTAGATATTTAGAATTAATATCAATCTGATTATATACCCCCCGATAACATGTGCTCTACAAACCTTGCACCCTAGGACTTGACGTCATCATACCACTTGATTTGTTCATTACACAAAACTTTCCAACGGCTTAAAACTTAGACTTGACAACTCTCAACAGCTCAGCCTGGGAGGAGGGGACTGGACCTGCCTGGACTGAATCTACCAGGTTGAACTCAATCCTCAGGGGAGTCTTTGCCCTGGAGGAGATGGAAATGGGGGGTGGGCTGGGGGGAAGGAGGGGAAGGTGCGGGAGGGGGAGAACAAGGGAATCCACGGCTGATATGTAAAATTAAATTAAATTATAAAATTAAAAAAAGAATTAGTTTTGCCTTTGTAACTTATGATAGCTAGAGAATTTGTCTTCATAACATAAAATTTATAACTTTGTACACCAAAAAGTTTTCAGTTTCAAAAGATTCTGAGTCCAGAACTCCTCCAATCTGTTTACAATGAAGTAGATTTTACTTTGCTAAAGTAAATATCTCAAATGAAGATCAGTGTGATCATTAATTATATTCAAGCTTATAACATTTCATTGGGTCATATAAGCAAGTAAATTTTTTTTTTCGGTTTTTTGAGACAGGGTTTCTCTGTGTAGCTTTGTGTCTTTCCTGGAACTCACTTTGGAGACCAGGCTGGCCTCGAACTCACAGAGATCCTCCTGCCTTTGCTTCCCGAGTGCTGGGATTAAAGGCGTGAGCCACCACCACTCAGCCAAATTTTTTTTCAGATTACAGAATTGCCCTACTTTCTTATCCTTAGTTTTTAACTGTAAACTAATTAAAATTTAAATGCTAGTATACTTTTACTCTTAAAAATCTTCATGTTTGATAATATTAGTTAGTGAAAATATTCCCATCAATGAGTTTTCAGACTTTTTTCTGCTTTCTCTTCCCTGCCATTCATTTAGGAACATTAGTTAGGTAGAATATCTCACCATCATGGACTTAGTTTTCCATATCTTGCATCTAAACTTCTCCAATGTTTTAGACTTAGATTATAGGACAGTTTATTTGTAAACACTTGAAATGTTTTTATGGGGAAGTCCAAAAGGTTAAATGGGGGAGGAGAAGAGTAATCAAAAACATAACCATAGGTAACAATACGCTGTTACCACACTGACTATGACTTCGGACACAAACTTGCTCCCTGCTCGGTTAAATTATAGTCAGTCTACAAGTGAAATTGTACCTATATTGATTTTGGCAGCTGCATATTGTCTTGATCACTATCACATTTCAATAGTAAATAGAATCATACCCTAATTTTGAAACATTGGAAGATTATTCACGAATATTTGTATGTGGAAGGGAGTCTAGTACTATGAGATGGTTGGGAGCTCTGTGCCAGCTCGGTTCCCAACAGACTGCATCTGAAGGGGCATCACCATAGTGAGGCTGCACTTCCCACTTTCCATTTCTCCTGATTCCCAACAACCACTCCTTAATGATTTAGTCTGTATGGAGCTTGTTAATATTGTGTTTGAAATCGATGAATTAAAGGATGACTACTCTGCAGTTTGCATTTGCAATGCAGCTTAGGACATCTTGGTTGTACTTGGATTTATGAATTCACTTAGATTTTGCTTCATTATTTGTGTGAATGACTCTCTTCTTCACTGCATCTTCAGTTACTTATGGAAAAGTTATTTTTTTTGAGATTTATGTCTTCATTTCAGTAATTCCACAATCCAATGACATGAAAAGAGAAAACATTTGTTAATGAAATAGCCTAATAAATTTTTATTTTTGTCTTGACAAAAGGGCAAATTATTTGCTAGTGGTTCACTTTATTATTTGAATTACTCATTCATCTATATATCAAATGTGTTGTCATCACATTATTGATGGGAAAATCTTAGTGTCTGTGGTAGTTCTTGTACATACTATGATTATATAGTCATACATGTAAATCCACTTGAAGAAAAGAACATAGTGTAGATAAAACATTGAAGGCTTTAAAACTTGATTGGAACTGCTTTCTCCAACCAGATCCCAAGTTACTCATCTTGATTAAACTTATTTTCTTAACTTTCTAAACTATAAATATTGTTACCTATTTTATAACTTTATAAAATATTAATAATTATGAAAAGTGCCATGTGCTCCTTTTCATGCATAAATAGTGAATGCTTAAAATCTAACATGCTGAAAAGAAATACAGAAAAACCTGCAAACTCTTTGTATTGACCTCAATATGCATCTGTGAAGCATTCCAATTCACAAAAATGAAATAGTCATAAAGAAAACCTTTGCAAATCTACATGTATATATTTTGGTTAAACAGGAATAAGACATCTGAGAAGTTAATGTAGCTTGCCTAACAAAGTCATGATAGTCTTTATGTATGTATTTATTGAACATAGCATGTTGTGGTGTTCTGATACAAATACAAGTAAAAGAGAAAGCTAATCCTGGTTGGGTGAGAGCTTTGGAAACCAAATTTATTTTTACAAAGTGGGTTGTGGAATAGCGGAGAGGACAGACTGGGGAGAGGGTATTTGGATAATGTTCAGCACAAACATTTCCTATGCTACTTTACATGGTATCCCCTGGAGCTGAAGTTATAGGTGGCTGTGCAATGTGAGTATTGGTAACTAAACTTGGGTCCTCTGAGAGACCATTACGCCATTTTTCCCACTGAGTCACCCACCCGGTCCTGAAAGAGATATTTTTAACGTGTTATTTTAAAATTCTGAAGTCGGCAAGGTGGCTCAGAGGGTACTGGCCCTTCCACCAAGCTTGATGACTTGAGTTTGATCTCTGGGGCCCATACAGTCGAGGAAGAGAACTGCATTGTGCAAGCTTCCCTCTAGCTTTCCCATGTGTGTTTGTAACCCCATATTTGGTGATCTACATACAACACATAAATGTAAAATGCTTAGAAGAAAACTAAGCTAAAATTAAAATTCCAGAACACCAAACTAAAAATAGACACCCAAATAACAGATAATATTATTTTGAAACACAGAACTTACCTCCGCGCCCAAAATTTCCAATTTCATTTGGGCCACTATTGCTATTGTTTACTGGCAAACTCGTGGCTGGCCATGAATCAGCAAGCCATGGATAATTGGGATCCCCAGCATTTAGAAGACCTGGACGGCTGAAACAGAAATGAAATGGAGATTAGCCTGTGGGGCTCAGTGAGGGAATTTGACATCTTCCTTACACTCGATAAAGGGTAAGGAGATATAAGATTTTAATTGACTTCAAATTAAATTGCAAGTGCTCTTAAGAAATAAAGGAACTTTAGTAGTTCATTAAAGCTATACATAGATCTTCTCTGTCAGTGGAAGCAAAAAGGCTTTGCCTGGGATTCTGCCCACATGCAAATGACATCAGTTGTCCACCCTGAAACTGTTGGGAAACAGGGGGCATAGCAGCATCATGAGACCAAGTTTTATGGTAAGTTGACATCTCAAGGGAACAATTTCTCTGAGTAGCTGCTCCATATCTGCCATTTCCAAAGAACTAAAGTATTCAGTCCTCATTTTTTGTACTCCCTAACTGGATCTGTTTTCTCTAGGTTGTCACCCTTACACAGAGCCCTAAGACTTGATTGGAGGCATATAGCTTGAGACAAATTAATGAACATTTCTTATACTTTTCTACCAATAGTACATTTCCAGGCTCCTCACATTGCCAAATAAAAGGGCTAGTTAAGGGTTTAAGGCAGTAAAAGATCCAGTTATATGACTCAACATCTACCAAAGCCTATGAAGAAAACTTCTTTCCTATCACATTAATAAGGAGTTTCATTATTTAATGTAAAGATGTGATTTTGATTCCTTTTCAGAATATTAGCATACTTACAAAGAAATAGATCACCTATAATTGTTGTACTTTTTTTTTGATAGACCCCTTCTGGTATAATCCCTAAGAGAAACGTGTGTTTCTATGGAAACTGCAATAAGAAGATTCAATTGCTTCTTGGTGTATCTGCTAGCTCTCATTAGACTTAATCTCTTTTTGCTAAAATATTGATTAAATGGGAGATTGGAAGTTATTACCAGAGCCTAATTACAATCTCCATATTGGCAAAGGGAAAAATAGATGAGGATATATGGGTTTGTTATCAGCTTTTATCAATTTCAATTGAGTATCCAAAGTTGTGGAATCCAGTCCTATCAATCTAAAGCCTATTCATCATCCATGAATCATTTACTTTGTGATCGATTATGTGTAATTGTTCACTCACAGCAATTTAGTGAGAGCCAATAAGGAGTCTTAAACAACAGCAACTTCATTTGCTAATGTCTAATTAATGCAATAAACATCCTGCTAACAAATGAACACATTCCTTGTGATATTTACTACTAATTTCTTCAGGGGCATCTGGGAGATATGAAACATCTGGACTTGATTCCTCTAAAGTGCACAACAGATAGATCATTAAACCTTGTGGTAAGCCATTCAATTCCTCCTAGAATTCTCAGACTTATAAGTGATCATTTATTACAATAATAGCTGCTCACTACAGAATTTCCCCAGTACTGATTAAAAATAATAATAAAAGAAACTCCTTAGCATACCTCCCATTGCTCATTAGTCCTCCATCTCCTCTTTGAAATGTTACTGTAATAAAGGAAAGACATACACACATAGTAGTCAGTATTAATCACAATTAATAACAGCTACCTATTGGGCCTCAGTTTAGAGATGAAGACTGGGAATTCCAACACAGTATAATTAATGGAATTATATAGGTAGTGACAAGCAATGGCTTGGTTCAGTGCAAAGTCATCATTTGCTCTGAATTAAATAAGTTGCTTCAAGTTTCTTCAAGCAAAATGAACCATTAGAGTAGTCACATGTATTTAAATCTCAAAACTGTTACAAGTAATGTATATGCAGTATTACTAGTAGGATGATACAGAATTAATGTGGAATTACCAAATGTAGTCATTTATTCATAACAAGAAAATGTCTAATTTGAAGGAATAATACAAAAACACACATTGAAGAGAACTAGCATTATTCCATATGGTAATATGCTTCCAATAGAGTAACAGCAAGTATTGATTATGTACTTCTCACCATCAAAGATCATTCATACTTAAAAGCATTATGCATTGAATGGTTACAATTACAGTAGACATATACTACTATTAATATGGAATACTATTCTCATGACAATATAGTTTGTGAATAGTTGATACTGAATGGATTCCAGTTATGTGTAAACATCTGAAATTTTCTCTAATACTAGGGAGCTTATTAAAGAAAACTCCAAGAAATGTCTAGTAAAAACAACTGTATGATTCTACTTTTCCAATATCTTGTTTCCACTTCACAAACCAGAAACATGAAAGTAGACCAATGGACCTTCCAACGAATTTAAACATCAGTTCAGATCCAGCATCCCTTTCCAAAATCTATTAGGTAAAATTTATTTGAGCTTCTCAGTGGTTTGTACCTAAGGGGTGTTACATTCCTCACAAAGGATGAAAGGGATCTAAGGCTGAGTGTACTCAATACTACCTACTATTTCTGCAACAAAAATGAATAGGCAAGCATAGTGGAATAGCATACATACATAGTTGCAAGTTTATTTGGATAAAATTTTGTCACTAAATTATCACACTCAATTTTTATGTAAAAGATATCTGATATTTAAAAGTTCCAGAATGCAGAATTGTTAGGATCTTACAGTTTGGACCCAAATCATTACAAATCAGCTAAAGTGATTACAGGGAATGATAGGGTTAAAATGAACACCATATTCTGTCTTTAGATGACAGCAAATTAAGTGTTCTATGATTTGTTTGTTACAGATAAATGTAAAAATAAATAAATTGTTTAAAGAACTAACTCATTTTAAATAAGATACATTCTCCAAATGTTCAGATAACTATTAATTTGAACATTTTCCATGACTCATCATTTGTTTGTTTCAGATACCAAGGCTAAATACTCTTGAAATTTGGCAATTTCCTAATACAGTGCATCAGTCTCTTCATTATCTAGTAGTTAAATTTTCTCTATAACATCATCATTAGGTAATACATCCTTAATTCCAAGGGTCTACAGCACTTAAAGACCAATATGCAGCTCCCAGAAATGTCGTGTAGGGACCCCACATATACTGCCATCACAACGTTTCAATAGCCTCTCAAATGTGCTATCAAACAATCCTGACACAACATTTACATCTGCCCATAACTAGTTATAGACATCTACTCAAAGAAGATGATACCAATCATTGCTCCACTTAAGGGCTTAAAATTTGGTATCAGTAGTGCAACTCTGTCCTACTGTGCCCATTTGATAACTGGTTTTTAACATAAATGAATTAAACTGTAACAATCAATGTAAACAAATGAGCAGTGATTAGTGGGGGTATTAGATAAAAGGCTAACACATACAAACATATGTGAGCACACTCAAGCACACAGACAGAAAACGGGAACACAGTACAGATGATTACTAGCCACTCATCTCATGGATCTTACTAGCTATGTGTTTCTAATAGAACACTAAGTGCTAAAATAAAGTCAAGACAATGCTGCAACACTGTAAGTATTCAAAAAGGCAGTCTTTGATGGGCTACACTTCAAAACCTGATGCTTAAGAGATGGGTATGATGTATTAAGCATCTTCTTAATACAGATGCTCTTTCTTCTCATCCAAACTTTTGTTATTACCAGATCATAAATATAAGAGAAAAAAGCGACAGCCGAATCAGAGGCACTAAAATTGGCCAATGGCAAATTTGTAGTAAAATACAAAGTATTATGATATACCACTTAAATTTTAACCAGAAAGATACCATTAATTAAAGCTAATATTCAGTGTTTGAATGCTGTTTATATTTTAATTATAACATTTAACATTATAAATGTTTATATTTTCTAATAGGGAATCAAAGGTTAAAGTATGAAAGGATTTGACATTCCAGGTGACTTAGAGGGTATATTCAGAAAATGTTTATTTTCTCTTTGTATCTCAATCCTCATTCAAATCTTTCTAAAATTGGTCTAGATTGACAGCAGGCTGTCAAAGATTTCACAAAGGCATGCGTCTCTGTCTTTGTCTAGCAACTACAAAAAAAAAATAAAAATCCACAGCACATTATGTAATTATTTATGTAACGTAAAATGTCCACCATACACAAAATCTGGTAGACATGAGACTCTTTCAATTGTGAATCCTCCTTTCAAAAGAATGAAGAAGAAAGGAAGAGGAAATGGAGACAGATACACCTACCCCTCTTATCGTAGCAATATTGATTACTTGTCCTGTTGGCACAGAAGCCTGCCTCATTGTGTAGACCAGGCTGACCTCTGCTCAGACATCAGCCTGGCTCTGCCTCCCGAGTGCTGGGATTAAAGGCGTGCGCCACCACCGCCCGGCCCCTGGTTGTTCTTTTTAAAGGACGGTGGAAAGAGAACAATAAATTTCTTTTATACCCTGCGCTGAAACTTGAAAGTAGAACAAAAGTACAAGCTCTAGTCGAACCACCAAATAAAAGCAAATGACAAATTATGAACAATTAGAATTTATACAAAGGAAATTGTGTCTGATCTTTCAATAGAATTTTTAGGAGTCATTCAGAGAGAATTGCAGAAAAATAATGACATTGCCAGCCGAGAGCTGTTTTGAGGCAGCTCTCATTTCAAAGAAATATTTGCCTTGATGTGGAAAGAACCTGGGATCAGGAAGGAGAATTCATGATGATCTCCATGTCACTGGTTTTCTAAGCACAGGCCAGTGACTTTGTGTTTATCAGAGATAAAACTGAAAGGACCTTGACTTTGAATCAGTAATTTCCTCTAGCATCTCAGCATAAGAACTTCTGGGAGCAATCCATAGAAGCTTCAGACATGAACATCTAAAATGTAGAATTGCATTAAATATTTGAACTTATTTTGCTTTTTATGAAAGTCAGGAGGGAAAGAGATTTTCCCAGTTTGTCCCAGATACAGAGTAATTCTATGCATCTAATATCACCTGTCAGAATTAATCCTGTGGCCTGTCTGCTAGAACGGGAGGGCAGAGGGAAGAAATGTAACTATGAAGCAAATTGACATTTTGAAGTAAAGAAGCTTCCAGAGTGTCTATCTCTAGTTGGTCACATTTTTCTACTCCAAATGGAAACTTTAATGTGGCAGCCAAGGCTTCTTCCCTTTCTGATAAGCTCTTACTGAAATATGAATGTATTAATTCCTTTTTAATAAGTACTAACCAAGCCCAGATTATCAGACTCTAAAAATTCCATCAAATCACTGAGCTGCCTTTACATACTTCTGTCAAATGATTTCGATTTCACCAACATTTTTAAAAATCCATGCATGGAGTATTTTCCATGTTATAATGCCCACAATCAAGTTAAATTATTGATGTGTGCCAAGCTTCCTAAAATATTGTCCTTATCGATAATAGTTACATAATATAACCACCCCTTTAAAAGTAAACAGAAGCTCACTTTCATCAAAATTTGATTATTCCAACAATTACAAATTAAAAAAAAAAAAGTAGATTCTGGAGAGGTGGCTCCATGGTTAAGAACACTGGCTGTTCTTCCAAAGATCACTAGTTCAATTTCTAGCACCTACATGGCAGCTCACAACTATCTGTAACTCCAGTCACAGAGAATCTCAGGCCCTATTTGGCTTCCACAGGAGCCCATGACACATATGAAGAACAGACATCCATACAGACAATAAATACCCATACACTAATATAAATAAATAAAAAATTACAAAAAATGAAAAAATAATACTGAAGTTATATGTAATATTGACAAACATTATCCAGTTATATATGTACAAATAATATATGATATATTTAAATCTAATTCTAATGGAACTACTTAGATTTGTTTCAAATTTTAATTGTGCACAATTTAGCTATGAAAACTATTATAATTGTGACCATATATTTACTTTGTATTATAAAATAAAAAAATACTTTCTTTGTAAATCTCTTCTCAAATCTCTCTCACTTTCTAGCACCTGAAGTTGTGAATTTTTCCTGTAATCAGAACCCCCCAACAAAAGGACAAGGAAATTGTTCTCCTCAGTGAAAATGAAGGTAAATGCAATTACCTGTTCTACAGACATGAAAAGCCACTCCACATAGAATGTGAGATAGAAGGATCTATTGAACAACAATTGTCACTTGTGGGTTTACATTACACAGAGAGCCATGGGCAAAACTATGCTGTGTATTTGTATCTGAGAATTTAAGTATGAGAAAAATATGGAAAGAAAGTTGACAAAATGAGGATCAATTCTGCCCCTGCTTTTGGCTGTGAACAGTGACAAAAACCTGTTAAGGCCAGATTCTCCTCCAAGACGATTTGAATGCATTAACTTGTATTTGATTCTGGATATGTGCTTCTACAATGGAGGTTTTTGTCCATTAGTTTACTCTGGTAAACATGTTAATTTTGCTGGTGCCCAAAGAAAATTATCAGCACCAACTAACAGAGTTTTGTTTTTTGTTTGGTTTTTCTCTTTTCAAATTTTACCAATACTGTTTTTGTAATAAAAATAAGTTTCATTTTAGATATAATGAGACACAGTGGGTGTTTTGCCTATATAGTGTGAATGGAAGGCATCCTGTCAGACTTACTGTCTCACCCTGCAAGCTATTTCTGTCTCTCCACTAATTAATATCTTCCTATTTCTTACTTCTAGACACTAAGAATAGACTTGGGACAAGGGTGTAGGGAGAGTGCTTCAGTCAAACTTAACTTGCTCTATAATCCTATTTCTTATCAATTTAGCTTTATTCAAAATCTATATGCTTAACAGAGGGATTACATCAAACTTTTAACTGTATTTTAGTTGGAATTTTTAAAATTTTTATATAATGATCTAATTAGTGGTTCTAAATTGACTTGACTTATTGAAGCTCATGACTTCCATCATAAGCAAATTATTAGAGATTAGAAAAACATAAACCTGAAAGATTACAGCATCAGCGTCGCATAGTGGTGAAACAATAGAAACTTCAGAAACATCATCTTGTTATTGAAGTTACATTGCTTTAATTCTACCTGATCTTGTATTTATAATGGTAAAATAACAAATTTCTAAGAGAATTTTTGATGAAAAATATAAAAAAAGATCAAGACAGCCTATTTACTCTATAATTATTTTAAAATACTTTCAAAAAAAATAGTCCATCATTAACTCTGTGCTTTTACAATGGGACATCAGCCCAGTCATAGGAACTGTAACTATAAACTTCTAAGAAGATGTGCATCATTGTCCATTCCTAATTAACATTCCATATCCCCCAGCTTCTGTAGAGGCAAAAATGTTAAAATCCAAGGTAGAAGGTAGGTAAGTAGGAAAGAAAATACAGAGACACTATCACAACCCAGATAGAAAAGGCTGCTTTCCTGGGGTTTGGCAACATTTTCATCTGCTTCCCACCTAGGAGAGCACAGAGAGAAGGCTAGTGACAAGGAGAAAAGACATCTATCCTCAGAGTCAGCCATCTATCAATTAAGTATTAGAGTTTTGAAAGGCTTCTCTCTGGCTTGGCCTTCTTCCAAATATCTGAAGGGCAAAGCACATTCTGAGTTAGCAACCCTTCTCCAAGCTCACGGACATCAATCATAATGAGTCATGACAGTACCAAATGGACAATCCTTGTCAAGCTCCAAGACCACCAGATATTTTCAAGTTAAGTGCATAGGTTTTTGCAAAGAATTGCTGTGAGAGACAGGAAGAGATGTCTGTCTGTCTGTCTGATATAACTACACTAAAAGGGCAAACTACAGGCTGTCAGAGCTATTGTACTACTCAGGCACGAGTGAATAAAGAAAGATGGAGGTTTCAAAGGTACCATTCCACAAGTGAATTTATTGGGACTTTTCATTAAAGTGACTTCCGTGCTTTATCTTCCACTATTATCACTAAGTCAATTGAAGTAATAAGCCTAAAATTGTCCTTGAGCTAAATTGGGCTTGCCTTATGTTTCCTATGATTGGTATGAGCATGTCACAGGGAAGACATATGGATTAGTAACTGATGAAATCAATCGGCCGATTGACAATATCTACAGGGGTGAAGGTACAGAGGGCTGGGCTCCAAAAACGTCGTTGAAATACTGTTGAAGTTCAAGACTTTGCCACCCACTAGTTGTCATCAACCACCCCTTTCTGGGAAGGATCTCTAATTGGTGCAGTGATTTAACACCTAGATGACAAAGAATAGGGAAGCAGACAGCGGTGACCACTGTAAAGTGAGAATGGGAAACTTCTTGTCAATGGATATGATAGGCTTCTTTTTCTAAACCCATTAGTAATTAATACTATGCATTTCAAGTGCTACAGACATAAGGACAATGCTAGAGTCAAGTTACCATATTTAACGCTGTAACATAACAAGCAAGACAACCAAGTGGATGCCATTGTTTGCATTTTTTTTTTTTTACTGTTAAGACACTGTATTCAATTTCCATTTAGAGCAGACATGTTCTAATAACTGATTTAGACAGACAATTTATTAGTTATTAGAAGATTAAACACAATATCTCAAAACATTTCAAGTGTTCATAGGATGGAATTAAAATTGCTCTTTAAAATTCTACTGAGCACGTGCTATTGGGAGTTAGTATCCTTTCACCGCTGTTAGGGAAATAATTAAAAGTAACTGCAATTTAAACTGTAATAGAATATAGCTTCAGTACTGACATCCTTCCTTCAGTCACTATGATTTTAGTGTCTCTCCCCCACTTCCAGACTCTATCTCTCTTTTCCTTTCAGTCTCAGTCCCCAACCCATCTATCTTTCTTTCTCTTTTGCAGATGTTTAAATGTATAACGTCTGACACCCTTGAGATGCTCTCTTTCGTTTTACAAGGACACTAATTTTGGAAATGCTGTAGATCATCTCTGGTCTCTTTCATTTCTCCTGCAGCTATTTCTGCTTCTTTCCTCTTCCTTTTGCTTCCTTCTGTCCCTCCTTCTGAAAATGCTGCTTGTTCACACTGAAATAGGCACCCATTTAAGTGAACAGTAAACCAGTTCATTCATGCCTCATCAGTTTTATTAATTCTGGTGAGATTTTTTGCTTGTTTGTCTTTTTCTTTCCATCTGGGACATTTCCCAGTGTAATCTTCATTGTGACATACTAAAAGCTGATTTTTCAAAGCTTTCCTTCTTTTCTGAGCATTTTAATAACTTTCTGGCCTAAACACACTTCTCAAAAGATGTCTTTATAGCAGGCAAGCTCTGCGTGTGTGGTTTTGAAGAACTAGTTGAGAAAAATAGTTGAGCATTTTATCAGTGTCTACTCTTGCTATGCTTCACTGGAGATACAAGCAGAAAGATTGCCTGTGGTCATAAAACGATATGGTCAAGAGCAATGCACTGAAGCATGTTGCTTATAATTGCATTTTACAGAGCGGGTTTTTATAACAAGCCCAAATCATCCATTTGTTATTCCATTCCATTTCTTCCTCTCATCGCATTACATTCCAAAAGATAAGAGGTTTTTATAGCTGAAAATAGTCTCTTACCAGCATAATTGCTGAGTCCCTTTCTCTTCTTTCTTCTCCAATACAACCAGATGCTAAAACCCATCAAAATTACCCAGCAGGCACCACCAATGCCAGCAATAAACGCTGGTTGCTTCACAACATCAGTTATTTGCTCAGTTATGCTGTTATTGTTTTCAGTAATAACAACTTCGTTACGTCCCCCTATGGAAGGAACAATGGTGTCAGTAAACATAAAGACAAATAATAGCAGAAATACAAACACATTATACCATAGGCACAGACATGTCCTTTTAAAGCTCAGCTGATATTTGTTTTGTCCTGAGGTTGTCAAAATTACTGATAAGAACATTTTAAGTTTAAAAAGAAGTACTGAATCATGTGTTTATAAGTGTCATTCAGAAGGTTATTCTCTTTTAGTTTGTCAGGGACAGCTTCTAAGCCACTTACAGATTGATAATATTGTAAATAATCAGTTGAACAACTACTAGGAACTGAAATGACAAATTCTTTTCTCAAACCAGCTAAAGTGATTCTTTATCAAAGTTTCCATAACATAAGTATTTGTGCATTACTTTCCTGCTACTGTCTTGCCTATTTTCCAGTGAACATAATTCACAAGATTATATAATTTCATATGGCCATCAATATTCTCCCAAGAAGTTATGTATAGATACACTTTGATTTTTGATGAAGCATGAAATTCTCTGCATAGAACAATAGCAATTATGATAACATTAATTCATGGATATCAGTATGTATAATTATAACATTAAGAGATTCTAAAACTTATGCACTCCCTATGAGCAGTTAAAAGTAATTTTACAATTGAACATTGAATCAAGATGTTTTATGTTGAGAAATTTTAGTCCTCTGAAAATCAGTTAAGCAAACCCCAATCCATACTTAATAGGTGGTGGCCCTGGAGAATCATAATGACATTGGACAACAAAGACTTAAGATGTATTTAAAAGATTTAAAAACTTAGAAAATGAGAATCAAGTGAATCTAATGTCAATATCATTTCTAGTCAGTATTTAATTAAGGACATTTGAAAGGCAAATTGCAAGCAAAATGTAAAAGGGGCGGTCCAGTAGACCACATCACAGGAATGCTTTTCATTGCTTTAGTGAATGCAGCACTGGTGTATGTTAGAGAGAGCATGGCCTTTGACATCCTGAATAGGTACACTCTCTCTATCACTTATTAGACAGTAAATTCTAGGCTTGTGTCAGGAACTTAATCTGTTTGCCCCTGACTCAGATTGTTGACAATGTTACTGTCTTTTTCATGTATTTTGGATTCATTGTGGTGATCTTTCCTTCTTTATTCCTTCCTTCCCTCCTCCCTTCCTTCCTTCCTTCCTCTCTCCCTCCCTTCCTTCCTTCCTTTATTCATTCCTCCCTTCCTTCCTTCTTTTTATGAGAATGTTGTCTTTATTACTCTAAAATGCAGTTGCATATTCAACCCTTAGACAAGTAATTTTTAAAGGAATCTTCCTTCTCTTAGAGACATATGTCAAATCTCGAGATATCTGGGGTTGTCTTAATTGACCTGTGTTAGAAAATGGGAGTGTTGCTGGTATCTAGCAAGTGGAAACCATTGACTGTACAACTCCCCATGCATAGAACCATTACCAATCCAAGTATGGTCAAAAATCCAAAATTGCAGAAATTGAGACATTTGCTAGAATGAGAACACAAGAGCCTATGGGATGCTTCTAAAGAAACTAAGATTTTGTCCCATGTGATATAAAGAGTTACGTTATGGAATGTGACCTAGCATGTGTAAGATGAAATAAAACCATTCCTCCCCTGCCCTCCCCCCCCAAAAAAATAGAGCTCCGTTAAGAGTCTTTCAGTGGTTTTTCAGACTGTCACGTGAATTGCTTAGGTTTGGGGATCCTGGAAATGTCAAGGACCCATTATCAACCCTGCTTATCTTTGCTTCCAGGACAGAAAATTAACACACATTCCTGAGCTTTCTCTGCCATCCAGTGACTGAATGTGAGCCCATGGTCTGTAGACAGGAATGACTCCATTTTCTTTGGCTCTGCCCCCAACACTCTGTGACAGGTCTCAATCTTTTTTCTCTTTTCTTGTGTATTAGAAACCAATATGTGTTGGAGGACATCATGTCTTTAAAAGATAGAAAAGCTCTTGCTTGGAAAAATATAAATTGCTGAATGACTATGTAATAGAAATCCCAGGCACCATTCTTCTAATGCTTGTTAAACTGAACTATGAATAAGAAACAAAACATTTTTTTATTAAATAAACCAAACTCTGCAGGCTTATATATTATAACTGATAGAATTTTCTTACACACACACACATACACACACACACACACACACACACACACACACACACACACACACACACAAACATATATGAACACACACACATTACTGAAAAGCATTTTGTGCTTTTTCAGATTTAAAATAATTTATGCAATAAATCTTTCTTGTCTGAAATATATGCACCTTTAGATGCTATTTGTATAAAAGTAAAAAAGTGTATTTTGTTGACATATTTTCAATACGTTATTTAGTGACTCTTTTCACTACTAGTAGTTATTAAAAGACCCCGCAATATAAAATAAGCAAACAAAACAACAACAACAAACCTGAAACCCCTGATTGATTATAGAGCAAAGAGTAAGAGAAGATTTGCAATATTTTAATGGGAGTTCTTAAAATGTTTTATTTAATATTGCACAACATTTTTGTGAGCCATGGTGTATTATTTCTTCTTATGCTTATAATTTTTGCAACAATGTTGCCAATTGTCCTGAAAAGAACACAGACAAGTGTGGTGTGACCTACCATGCTCTATTGTTCTTGCAGACAAAAAAATGTAATGAAATGTAGTATCTTCCTCCCATTGGAGAGTAATGAAGAACAAAAGCAATTTGTTGGAAAAAAATTTAATTAGACACATCAGATTCAATTGTATCTATTTCTGTGAAAGTTTGTAGTTGTACTGAAGATCATCAACTCTCCAGGTTAGACTATGAAATATGAATAATTTTAAAAATACTTCTATTATAAAGAAGATTATTGTTATTTGATATACTGTTTGGTATGGTTAAATTTCTTTCATGCTTTTGTCTGTTGGCTTTACTCCACAGTTTCATGTGAAACCCACTTTCACATAGAAAATTAATTAAAAAAAACCCTCAAATTTCAATCTGTATAAGGTTATGCATCCCATTTTACAGTATTTAAGTCACTTGTTTCTTCACAACATTAAGATAGAATAATTGAAACTTTACACAGCCTGGCATAACAGCAATATAAAATTATGAACCATAAACTGCATCAAATGCCAAGGCATGACTTAATTAGCAAAGGGAAAAGCAGGTAAGCTTGAGTCACTTTTCATGCCGTTTCCAGTATGGACTATACAATAGGGAAGCATAAATTGAAACAGAAAAGGAGATTAGCCATCATTAAGTCACTATTCAACTGAGAAGTCGCAGTTGTGTACAAAGCCTTATCAGACAAGATGTGAAGCTTGATACGGAAGGATAATTAAAGAAACAATTAGGAAGTGTCTCAGGACAGCAGTAGATATTAAAAAGAAAAGGATCTCTGGAGGACACTTCTTTTCTGGGTCAAACTGGACTTACACATGTGCATGTCCTCATTTCTGTTTCTACAGTGCCGTGTTCGTGATTACCTTTTAAACATGGCATATTCTAATTACCTGAGTAGGATACAGGAAAGGCATTGATTTCATTGTTTTGTTTCTAGAAAAATTTGAACACTTGTATGATATACTAAGATAGAGTAATAGGTGCTCAAAATCCAGTTAGAGACTCAGTCTTCTAGAAATAATAGAGTTTGGTAAAACTTTGCAATTTATTTAAAATCATCTAAATGAAATCCATTATGTTGCCACACTGTCACTGCTCTGAGAAGAACTGTGCTTGTCATAGCATAGCATTGATTTCTTGTTCCAGGAGAATCAGATCTCCAAAATACTGTGAGACAGACAACCTCTAGGAAAAGAGAAGAAAATGTCCATTGCTTTAAATAACATTTTATTTACTAACTATAATAGAAAAACAAGACACAAGAGGGGAATGCAGTTATTTGGCAATCCTACTTATCTTCAGTAAGAAATACTACATTCAGTAAATCCAGTTCATATGCATTTCCTTTTTAGGAGTTTTCAGGGAGCATTGTCCTTCTCGTTTCTTTTAAAGCAAAGTATTCTCATCGGTCAACAATAATGAATTAGAATTAAAATATACAGTGAGCAGAAATATGCTTATATATATTTTTGCTTTATTTTGTCTGTTTTGAGACAGAGTCTCCACATGTAGCTCCAGCTGGCCTTGAGTTCATGGTGCTAGCCTCAAACTCTTTACTATTTTCTGCAGCCTCCCTGACACTGAGATTGCAGTGTACATGCATGGGGCACGACACCTGGACCCTCATAGTCTTAAAGAAAAAAAATTAAGTAAAAGGCTTATGTCTAAATTTAAATACTTTAAATAAAATGTGTATTTGTACATACACATGTATGTGAATATATATTTAAATCATTTTGGGTACACCTATATTTCTTCCTTATTCCAATTTATTTCAGAAAAATCTCAGAAGGGTAAGATTGTAGGTTTCCCTCAGGTTAAGGAATTAATTCAGTCTGAACAACTAATTAAGAAGGGAAAGGCAATTTAGATAAAAGATAATACTTTAACTTTTTTCTTCAATGCTATTCATTTAGCAAACAAAGAAAAGTTGGGAAGTCTAAAACATTTAACATTATGACCAAATATAAAGTCTGTCTCTATGCAGAAGAAGAAATGATCACCAAGGAATTGGTGATATCCTGTCTGCATATCATTTCATCATATTGGAAAATAGAGACAAAATGGAGTTTTATGAACTTTGATGAATATTTTTGATATATGTATACTCTTTTTTTTTTAATTTGTCGTCACTATGATGCCAAGAAGAGTGAAGAGAAGGGTTTAATGACAAGATCTATAGAGAAGAGAAATCTTTATTGACAAGCTTTGGCTTCCTTTAGTGAGATCCTCAAACCATGCAGTATAAGCAAGTTGGTGCCGCACTGATAAACCCCAATGTCATTTATATGATATGTCAGCGTTCACAGCTTAGGGATGCTTGAATGATAGAGAACTTAAGGGAAATCCACAACTACAGGGAGTCATTTGATAGTAATGTTCACTAAGTAGCAAGCAATCACCCCTGGTATCCTAGGGTGAACACTCAACTTTGCATTGAGGACTAATGCAAAGATCTGGTGTGAAGCAAAGGATGAAAGACAAGAGAGGAGAGGATGTCCAGCTAATACCCAGTTCAGAGAAGTGAACTCTTGATATTTGAGTTCCGTTCAGTTAGGGGCACCACAGAGACATCCTAATATTTTTATTGAAATTTCCCAATGGACTTACCTTAGATTGAACATCAAACTGAGGTTGTAGTCCAAGAAAAAGGACAAGACCAAAAACCTCCCATACAAACACCATGAAAAGGAGTAAGACATGGTCAATTCAAGGTAAAAATCCAGTAGGACAAACACAAACATTCTTTCAATGACCACAAGCCTTTATAATATGTCATCACAAAGTCCAGGATCGAGTAAAATATAACCAGCCATATAAAGATAGACAAGTAGATAAAAAAAAAACAAAACAAAACAACAGTCAACACAATATGAACAAAGGACAAGAAAAGAAAAGCAATTAGTGGAAGTAGACCATTCAACAACACAGGTTTTGGAATCAGAAAGAAAATATTTTATATATTGTATTTTAGATAAATTTGTTACATTTATATGTAACTTTACTTTTACTTAGTGTGTGGCCGGGACACACTCATACACATGTGTGAAAGTTAAGAACAGCTTGTGGTAGTTGGTTCTCTCTACTAGGTGAGTCTCGGGGATGAAATGCAGGTTATGGCTCCTTACAGACTGAGGGATGGAGAGATGGCTCCATAAAGACTGAGCAACGGGGAGATGGCTCCCTACAGATTAAGGGATGCGGAGATGGCTCCTTACAGACTGAGGGCTGTGGAAATAGATGGCTCCTTATAGACTAATGACTGGGGAGATGGCTCCTTACAGACTAAGGGATGAAGAGATGGCTCCTTACAGACTGATGGATGAAGAGATGGTTCTTTACAGACTGAGGGCTGATGAGATGGCTCCTTACAGGCTGAGGGCTGGGAAGATGGTTTCTTACAGACTGAGGGATGTGGAGATGGTTCCTTACAGACAGGGATGTGGAGATGGCTCCTTACAGATTGAGGGATGGAGAGTTGGTTCTACAGGTAATGATCTTTCTGCACAAGAGAGAAGACTAGAGTTCGGATCCTGAGAACCAATATAAATGTTGGGTGAACATGGAAACCACTCTGTAATTCTAGCACAAAGAAGGTGCAGACAGGGTAGCCCCAGAGACTATCCTTATCGTACTGGCATATTTTGGATATGATTGAGAGATCATACTTCAAAGAATAAGAAAGAAGAGTTATTAAGAATTCTGAACATCAATCTCAGGACTACACACAGAGAGACCTGTACAAAACACACAAATATGTACCACTTACACTTATCTATAAAGAAGAAAAGACCAAAAAAAGAGTAAAAAAATGGAGTTCTAAACTTAAAAGGAGATGTATAATTCCATAATTATCACCTATTTCTAGATTCATTTTTTGCTTGACATTTGTAGAAGAGAATCTTATTTTTAATTTCATATGCATAAACCACCATTCACTAAAATTAAATCTCCACACTTTCTCTTTGCATGGATATCACTGCTAAGTTAATAAATAATTAAGGAAGAGACAACATGAGTACTATCAAAACTCCTGAAGAATAAATATAGAGAAGAAAGGAAGAAAGGAAGACTTCCCATCGATGTTGAAAAGCCATTCACCCTCATCCCAAAACCTGACCAAGAGATAAAGAGATAGAAAGACATGAGAAGGAAAAGAATAACCAATCAGCATCCTTCATGAACGTAAATTCAAAATTCTTTACTACATGATACTAAACTAAATCCAGCAACAGACACAAAGAACACAATAATGACCAAGTAGAATGCACAACCAGGAATGGAAAGATGATTTACCTCTTAAAACTATTCAGTAGAATCTAACATGTCAACAACAACAACAAAACAGAGAAAGAAAATTTAAGATTGAGTTCACATATAATATAAATCAATAAGAAAAACAGATTCCAAATAACAAGTCAAACAATTCAACAACAGTGTGAAACCCATATCAAACACTCAGGAAGTATATCAGCAAAACACATAAAAGATCACACACTGAAAACTACAAAATACTGTTGCAGAGTAGTAAAGAAGATTTCTATAATGAAAACATGTATTATGTTCCTGGGAAAGACTCACTGTTATCCTTACTCAGTTTGACAAAGAGATTCACTGCCTTTTCAATTGCAATTCCTTGACACTTTTGTACAAACTGACAATCTGATTTGAAAAGTATGTGAAAAGTGAAAATAGCCACAACAATTTTGTAGAAGAAAATGATGACATTTTCACATTACCCAATTTTAAAGACCACTGTAAACCACAGTAATGAAAACATTGTAGTTTGGCACATAACAAAATACAGACATTAGGAACTCTGAAAGGGATTCACATACATTTATTTTATTAGGGGAGGGTTCAACAGATGCTCAACAATTCAATTTGATAAATTTATAGAATATGTACATCTCAGCCTTTCAACTTCATGCAATTACCTGAAGATGAATTATAGACTTAGGTATAAAGGCCAAAATTATAAAGTTTCCAGAATAAATTTAAAATGTCCTTCATGTAGATATAACACAATTTCTCCTAAAACAATATATATATATAAAAGAAAAAATATTAAATTGTATTTCATTAAAATTTAGCACTTATTAAAAGACACTATTAAAATAAAGAGAGAACTCATGGACTAGAAGAAAATTCTCTCATTGCCCCACTCTCCTGTGTGTGTGTGTGTGTGTGTGTGTGTGTGTGTGTGTGTGTATAACCAAGAACTTCATACAATATGCAAAAGGACAAGAAATTAGCATAGATAAAGTTGTTTTACATCATTAACATGCAAGAAATTTGAATCTAAAATCATAAAGATACACAGTTTACATCCACTGGAATGTCTCCTGTTACAGACCGGCAATACCAAATGGTGGTGGTGATGCAAAGAAACTGGAAGTCCTTTTTCTGGTTTCTAGGAATCCTAAATTTTACAATTTGCAAATTGTTTAGAAGCTTCAAGTAATGTTAAAAATACATAATCCTATTATCTGTAAATTCTACCTCCAAGAACTTCTTCAAAGAAATGCAGGCATGTGTTCTTGCAAAGGCTTAAAGAAGAATGCACATTCTCTAAAGAGAAAATCAGGTAAACAAAATAGAGCATATTCATAGGATTCAATACCATTCGGTAACCAAGCATTTAAATTGCGTTAAAATACATGAAGGAATCTCAGGAAATGTTGCTTGAGTCAAAAGGCAGACACAAAATTACCATGTTCTAGATAATTCCATTCATATACTTTTCAAGAACAGACAAACTTCACCAACAGTAAAAGAAACACTTTTATTAAATTATGTGAGTAGATTTAGCATGAATTTCTTCTCTCATATGCGTTATCAAGTTCTTTCGGGCTGCTTCTCATTTTGACATATTCTAGCTCAAATGAGGCATATAGCTTATACTCTCCAGTGATTACCTTATTTTTCTATATTTTCATTGAACCACAATTATTAGTAGATCTATTGAGTACCAATAATTTTCTAGTCATGTAGCCAACTTTTAATAATAAAACTCAATGGTTATAGCTATTAGATATAGGACACATATACAACTATTTGTGTGAACTATTTGTAAGAACTGTCAATTTACCTACATGCCTGTATACCCATACAGGGTGTACTATAGGCGTCTCTCAAAATAAGTGGCCATGGTCAAGATGAACACTCAAAAACACAATCTACCTTGCTGGAGAGATACTGAAGTCCAGGCTGTTACTCACCAATTATTATTGGCTGTGGTTCACTTTTTACTCCAACCCCTGCACTTGTGCTGGCGGCCACTTCTACCCGGTATTGAATTCCAGGGAATAAGCCACCTATTACCACAGAACGGATGGCTGCATCCACAGTTTTGTTAATATGGAATCGTGTTTCATTTCCCAGACACCAGATCTATAGAAAAGGGAGAGTAAAAAGAGGTAATATGATGTCTCCATTCTGGCAATTCAACTATTATAATTGAATGCATACACAAAACAGACTAATCTATTTTTGTAGTTATATAAAATTGTTTATAAATGACATTTATAGCCATCCCTTGTGCTTTATGTATATTCACGTGCATTTGAGAGTGAGCAATATGACAAGCTGAAACTCTGTCATGTTTCTTCACATCTCACTATTGTCATGTGAGTTTACACTGAGCAATTTAGAAGGCACGGTGACCCTTGAAATAACAGGTAAGTGATGGGCATTTTAAATTTGATATTTGTGTACATAAAATCTTATCATTTTCTCTGCTTAATTTATCAAAAAAAATCTTTTATACATAATCCAATATAAATTTGGTGACTGTGTATTGTGTTATGTCAATGGTCTTTAAGTATACAGCTGAATAATTCATATTTCATTCAATAAAATATCACTTTAGGAAGTAGTTAACAGGATTAATTGATCTCAGTTACAGGAATTGATCAAAATGAAATTAAAGTCAATATATACAAAGATATAAATAAATCTTAGTGTTGATCAAAATATATCCACACATTACACATGCTTGAAACAAAATGGCAAGAAGGGTTCAGACACAAATGTTGAAGTAGCTGGGTTGTTATTTCAATATAAATTAAACTCTATGGCATGTTTTCATTGGAGATACAGAAATTGTTACTGTAAAATGGTTATGAAAGTTCTCAAGTATCTACATTTTTTTCTTATTATACAATGTTTCATAAAAAATGTGTATGAATACATAACATTTGTTTCTGAAACAGGGAAGCTCTTGGAACATTTTTAGCAAGAGAAATCCTGTAAATGGTATATTTCATTTAAATAAGATATCTGTTTTACTGATGGAGGTATATTTAGCCCTTATCTGAATGTATACCACTCTACCTAAATATGATAAATATATAATAGGTGAGAAATATCATGCTGTAACCTATTATTGCTATTTAATTAAGCTCAAGTTTAGAGTTTTTAGCCTTGGATGGCATAAAAACAAATCTTTATCTTCATTTACAAACATGTAAGGAGTGCTTAACTTTGTAATATTAGTACTGTCAGTCACACTGTATGACTTTAGAATTGACTTAGTTCTGTTACTATAAGGACTTTTATCCTTCTTAAGCATGTTTGCTTAAAATATGATGGGGTGATTAAACAAAAATATCTAATTAGCATATCCGTTTGCTTCAGTGAGTTGACCAGTAATGTGACAAAGGTTTAGTTTTTACTATCTTTTAGGAATAAAGCCGGGCGGTGGTGGCGCACGCCTTTAATCCCAGCACTCGGGAGGCAGAGCCAGGCGGATCTCTGTGAGTTCGAGGCCAGCCTGGGCTACCAAGTGAGTTCCAGGAAAGGTGCAAAGCTACACAGAGAAACCCTGTCTCGAAAAACAAAACAAAACAAAACAAAAATGAATAAAATTCAATCTGCATAGTTTAGCATGAAATTATTCTTCTATTTTTCCATTCTGCCTATTTTTCCACACCAGGATTGAATTTCTGAAGTAAGGTGAAATCTCTAGTTACTGATACTCGCTCTACCTGGCATGCTACATTCCAAATCCTAGAAATATATGCAAATATAAAAAAAAAAACATTGCTTTGAAAGAAATTGAATGAAAAAATAAATTCCAAAGTTTAATATATAATCATATCATGATTCAGCCAAATTTATTATAAAAAGTTAGACACACTTAGTGTCTTGAACATCAGCGATAGTCATGGAACAACAAGAAAGTGTTTTTTTTTCCCTTTAGATTCCATCAATTCAAATATGAGATAATTATTTCTTGCTATGCTATCAAAAATTTGTTTCAATGGTCATCCCAAGGGAAACTTCAATGTGAGTTGGTACAGCAGTCTTGTTCCCTCCCCATCCATTTTAACTTTCCTAGTCGTCAGTTCATCTCTCCTTGACAATTCGGGTGAACTTGGTTTCAGTATAATCCTTACTTCTACCTCAAGCCCCTCCTTCCATCATTCCTGAATCTCATTATACTGAAAACCATTCCACTCTCCATTGTCCAACTGAGTTCTACATCTCCGACCTTGATGCTAGGTTCTCGTTCGCTATGCTTTCTCACCCTTTCCTATTACACATCTCACTTTCCAATTGAGCATTTAGAGAAAGGCTCTGTTGAAGTAGTACTCAGATCTCCTGGGGTAGCTTGTCTGTGGGCCTCCCTTTGTTAGCCGGGCTTACCTTATATTCCTGAATAATTCCGTTCTGGTGGTCTGGGGGTGGAGGATCCCAGGATACACTAATGCTTGTGCTGTTGTGGCTTCCAACCGTCAGCACAGTCACAGACTGGGGAGGGGCACTGGGGGCTGCAGAGGAAATAGACTGAGTATAAACAGCAAGTTCTTGGTATGCACATGCTTACAACACATGAAAGCAAAGACATGACCTTTAAGGTTCTATGTTGCAGAGAAACCTCAGGTGACTGTCCAGGAAGCTGGCTGTTTCTGTCATAACTCACATTTTTGGAAGTCGCTTGTTTGCACTTTCTGTTTTACTAGGTAATATTATTTCCTTCTGGGGTGTCTGAGAGAGTTGAAGATTAGATAGTTGTAGTTACAGTTTTCCTCGTTAAGAAATTCAGAAAAGAAGCTCATTAAGAGGTGTTAAGTGTGGAAGTTTGTAAGACATCATGAGATAGTTTTCTGTTGGTAATACAAGATAGGATAGAAAGTGAATTAGGTACATTTTGGACTAACCAAGATAGGATAGATAATGGAATATTTTCTCTGAATTTGTCAAACACAAATGGACTAGATATTGTTGATATATTTATTGCTTGTATATATTGTATATAGTTATTTTACTAATTGTATATAGTTTTTCTTATATTAGTTTTAATTTTTTATTATTTTTTATTAGACAAAAGGGGAAATGTTGTGGTACTTTATTTGTGCTTTAATAAATAAAGATTGCCTAATAAATAAATAAAGCCATTGTAAGTAAACACAAAAGTCATGCCATGTTAGCACACAGCTTTAATCCTATCACTTGGCAGATAGGGATCTGTCTGTATCTCTGTGAGTTCAAAGCCACACTGGAAACAGAGCCAGGTGTGGTGGCACAAGCCTTAAATTCCAACACTAGTCAACCATGGAGGTCTGGAGATCTGTACAGACAGACAGGAAGTGACAGAGCTGGACAGGAAGAGGAACTGATATAGTTGGACAGAGAGCAAATCAGATGGCAGAACAGCAAGGCATACAGGTGTGGATAGACAGGAAGTATCTCACATTTGTTAGCTGCAGATTTGGTGAGTTAAGGTTAGCTGTGGCTTTCCCTATTTTCCTGATCTCTCAGGTTCTCACTCCTATATCTGGCTCTGTGTTTTTTATTTAATAAGACCATTTAGAAATTTGCCCGGGCGGTGGTGGCGCATGCCTTTAATCCCAGCACTCGGGAGGCAGAGACAGGCGGATCTCTGTGAGTTCGAGGCTAGCCTGGGCTGCCAAGTGAGTTCCAGGAAAGGCACAAAGCTACACAGAGAAACCCTGTCTCGAAAAACCAAAAAAAAAAAAAAAAAAAAAAAAAAAAGAAAAGAAAAAAAAGAAATTCGTCTGAAGTTCTGCCTTCTAGTCACCCAGAATCTGCATATAGTATTTGACCAGTGACAGCTTGTTCAAAATCAGGCTTTGAATTTAATGTGTATTTTAAAGTGGTGTAATCAGTGCGAGTACTATACAGTCAATAACAAACTAAACAGCTATACTCAGGGTGTTTTTCTATGTTAGCTATTCGGTGTGCTGCTAGTTTCCAATCTTTCCAAGGACCTCAGAAAGTGGAAACAACTCCTAGCTCAGTTTTGAGTAAGGGGGCCATATTGGAAGATTTTACTGAGGTCAACCTGTAAGTCAGAATTTAAAACCAGAATATTTTATTCTAAGAAGTTTGCATTCTTTTATCTTTAATGCTTTTTTTGATTTGTTTTTTGTTTTGTTTTGTTTTTTTGAGACAGGGTTTCTCTGTGTAGTTTTGGTGCCTGTCCTGGATCTCGCTCTGTAGACCAGGCTGGCCTCAAACTCACAGAGATTCATCTGGCTCTGCCTCCCGAGTGCTGGGATCAAAGGCACGTGCCACCACTGCCCGGCCTCTTTAATACTTTCTAATGGCTATGTTTCTAGAAGAATTCATAATAATACTTGAACCAAAAGTATTTTCAGATGATTTATCCCAAAATGCAAACAAGCATTATTTTCTAAACCGAGGGTTTTTTGGTATTGTTTGAGAAAAGTAAAATAGAAACGCAATTATAAATCTCAACAACGAAAACAATGCTTTTCTTTCCATACTGGGAAAATTAATTGACTATTCGGAACTGTCTTATAATTTAAAATTTAAAACATATTTTATGTGGCAGGGTAAGAGACTCTGCTAATAAAATTGAAAATGGGCTCATGTTGGGTCACACGTGAAATGGAGGTTTTTTTGAGTTCTGGGAGTCATTTCCTTCCTTTATAGCTTCTTCTATAACTAACTACAGCCATGCTGAGAAGCGATGAGTGAGAAACAGTTCCTGAATTTAGATTGCAGGGTCTCCCATTCAGGGGTTCCCAGAGCTAGGAAACACTAACTGTGCAGAACTCAGTCATTTTCAGCGACCCTCACAACTTAACTCAACAGTAGGAAGAGAAACGTTGGAACATTTAGATGATGCTAAAAATCTGTCTAGAGATTTAAAACAAAGAATTGGGGACCACGAAAAGATTTCTATAAAACCATACATGCTTCATAGAGCCACAATTTACACTCCTTACAAATATCCTAAACCACCTTTCACAGGCCAGCTAAGGTGTCCCATATTTGGTAAATTTGTCATGGCCTATTTCATTGGCATGACGTATTTGCATTGAGATACAAGACACGGAGAGACAGCTGCTAATACAGTTTGCTCCTGAATGTCCCCCTGTGTGACAGTACTGCTCCAGAATGTGGCACCGTGACATAAATCTGACCACTTGTCTACCAGCCTTGCAGTTATTAAGTAAGTAGACTGCACTGGAAACTAGCGCTTGGAAGCCGGCTTTCCCTTCTTGTTGCTGGCTAGGCGAGAACTCCAGGCCTGCTCCCTGACAGCTCAATTATTCTGCTACTCCACTCGCCTTTCTGCAGATTTGAAAGAACTTGAATCTCTGCTCATTGCTCCCAGACTTAGTCCAGCTGAGTCCATTTGTTACATTTACCAGGCCCCAGAAAACTGAGATAAATGTAGACTGAATGCTGACAAATGCCTAATCCACTGGAAAAGGAAAAGTCCACTGTAGTGAAAGTGATTTTTGGAACAAGGCTTAAAGTTATCCTAAATTATAATTACTTGTGCCATTCACTGGTGGGACAAGTTTTTAGCATACATCAAGTAAGAGAGAAAAAAAATATTAATGTTAGTATTTTTCTTGTTTTTATATTTACTGAAAGTAGTACGGTTTCAAATATATTCAATTTTGTCCATGTTGATGGACTGATCTCACTGCAAATCAATGTGAAGTTAATATTTTTATTTTGTATTAAATTATAGGAAATGTGTGACTTCAAAGCTATTTGGTTGAGCACAGACATATGCCTGTTAGTATTTGTAGTTTGTTTTCAAAAGGCTGTTTCTTGTATCATTTGACACAAACCATTTTTAGAAAAAAGACTTATATAGGAAGTGTGGCCACAAAGTCCATACACAAGCTGAATTGGGGTGGGGGCTCAGAGTACTGTAGTCTCGCCTTTTTACTCTAAGGGCAGCATGTACTAAAAGCCTTTCATTTACTGAAAGTAAAAAGACTGGCGAAAATCTACATTCATCTCAGGGTCACCAAAGGTTGACTTTAAAGTATCTGTGGGTAAAAAATGTTCCAAATATGGGGGAAGGGGATGAAACTCTTTGAGAGAAGTTGGCTATAGCAAGTGTGCAAACGGCATTCCAAAGGAGAAATCATGGCTCTGACTGACAGTCCCTACAAAGAAAAAGAACTGATAGATGTCAGGCTTGGCTATGTCCCCAAACAGTGGTCACCTCAAATAAGCCTGTTCTGTGTGCTTGAGTATCTTAGAGAATGGCTTCTGAAGCTAAATGAGCTAGAGATCCTCATTAAAATACAGAAATACATTATAATCAGTTCAAATGTACTGAAACAAGGTTTAGGACAAAGTGTAAGAAAAGATTAGATTCTGATTTTTTTCTTCTTTTTCTTTATTTCCCTTTGTTCTTCTTGTCAGATATACATTCTGACTTCACACACACACACACACACACACACACACACACACACACACACAAACACACATGCTCATACACCTCACACAATCCTTACACACACATCTCTCATTTACATGTTTCCACCTTTTTACATATATATGTGTGTGTATACATATTATATATATTCTTCCTATATTCTCAGAATATAAGGAGAAAATTACCCTCCCTAGATTCAACTCTTAGATGATCTTTTTTCTGGTCTTCCAATTAATAGAAGTAAGAACTATATAGAAAACGGCTTAAATAAAATTTTTGTTTACATTAGAAACCTTTACTGACCTTCCTCAGTAGTACGGACCGTTTTTGATTCACTGTCCATTCCTTGGAACTCATTAAAATATGGTCTGACTTTAATTTCGTAAGTCACCCCCTTTTTCAGATTTGCTAGGACAGCACTCCTCTCAGTGGGGACTTTGGCATCTAGATTTTGCCATGCAGTTGAAGCTTGTAGGCCAGAAGTCTGACGATACATCACTCTGTAGCCCTGAATAAACTGGGGTTGCCGATCCACCTGAAAAACAGCATGGGATAATTGATGGAAAAAGGGATGAAGTCACTGAGGAACTGGCCCATCTTTGCCCTCATCATAGCCACCTGATTGATGCTAGGGCCTTCTCATTCATTTCCCTTCCTCTAATAATGTCCTTCAATTGCAAGTACACATTGCTACTTTAAAATCTTTCTTAAATGATGAGTAGACCAAACGTCTCCTTGTCTGAAAATATCTCACACTAAGCTAGCCACACATGCTCTACCAACGTCAGAGTTTATCAAGTTTCATTTCTCATTTGCTTTCTATTTTCCCATATTCAACAACTCCCATTTTCCTGGTTTTCATAAGTAATATGCCATTTGTTAACATCAATTCATTAATAACTTCTCCTCTATAACCTCTGTTGTTGTTCTTACTGATAGGTGCCAAGAACTTTGCTGACTTCTGAGTGTGAAAATGGACAATGAAGGTGGATCCTTATTCTTTTTACATTCCATGTGGAATTCGGCCTGGGAGGAGGGGACTAGACCTACCTGGACTGAGTCTACCAGGTTGACCTCAGTCTGTGGGGAAGGCTTTGCCCTGGAGGAGATGGGAATGGGGGGGGGTGTTGAGGGGAAGGTGAGGGGGACGGGAGGGGGGGGAGAACAAGGGAATCCGTGGCTGATATGTAGAACTGAATTGTATTGCAAAATAAATTAATAAAAAAAAAAAAAAAAAAGAAATGAAAGTTAGTAGTTAGACATTACAATAGAAGTTGTAGTCATATTAGATATGTTTTAAAAATTGAGCAGATATATTTTAGACAGGTCATCTTCAAACCCTTCGGAGATCTACAGAATATGGCATTTAAAATGTTTTAATAACTTAGAAAATTTTTCTTTTTTGTTATGATTATGAGACATGTCGGCTCCTGGCAGTACCAATCTACTTCAGAGAAAATATGGGCATTGAAGAAACTGCATATGGAGTTAACTTTCATTGTGGCAAAAGTTAGCCACTGGACAACAAAGTATCCTTGAATCAACTGCTGACAAAATGGACAGACAGGACATGAAACAAAGGACTACTGATTCTTGCCAAAACGAGTGTGGTTATGGCTTTATCAAAAGGCATCTTCTGAGGCCAGGACAATATGGCACCATCCCTGAAGTGGCCTTCGCAATTTGGAAAAGGTACAGTGCCCTTTTCTTCGAAGGCAGCTGAATAGGCAGTGGGCCGATGGCTTCTGATGTGCAATGGAACAGCAGCTGAAACAGTTATTCTTGAAGAGTAACTAAGCTCACGCCTCGCAATAGTAAACTGGCATTTGACAGAGGGATGTGGAGAAGAACGGGATGTTAAGATGAAGCCATATATACACAGCCAAGAATGGACAGCTGAATTAAAAAATCAACAACAATTTCCAGAATTTAAAATCCTGAATCATGACATGACACTAGTGGAATTCAGGTGTTTCTGGTACATGGACTGCTCTCACCCAATGTGAGGTTGAACTGTCGACCTTGTGTACATCCTACTTCACAAATGAGTCTGTCAGATATGCTAAGCCTATAGGCTGAAGATGATGCCCCAACACTGTGGAGAAACCTCAGGTGACTGTCCAGGCAGCTGGCTGTTTCTGTCAACTCACAAATTTTTTGGAAGTTGCTTGCATGCACTTTCTGTTTTTATTTTTGTTAGCTAATATTATTTCCTTCTTGGGTCTCTGAGGGAGTTGAAGATTAGTTAGTTATAGTTGAAGGTTAGTTAGTTATAGTTGAAGATTAATTAGGATAGAAAGTGAATTAGATACATTTTGGACTTAACAAAATAGGATAGATAATGAAATTATTTTCTCTGAATTTGTCAAATACAAATGGACTAGAAAAAAAAAAAAAAAAAAAAAAATAATTATTCAAATAATTTTAAAGTTGCCATAACACATAACCATAAGCAAAGGCTCTGAATGTGATGCCCTGGGAATTAAAATGTCTCGTGGGGAGAGGAAGCACAGTTAGAGGGCAGATAATCTGAATGAAAGAGTGGAGGTCACCCAAGAGATAAAGCAAAGGATAAGATTGCTTACACCCCCGTGTCTGGATAAGCTGCAGGAGAAATGGAAGCTGTGATCCCATCATGTTTAAAGTATATGATCACTTATCCCTGTTAACAGTATCTAACTCTAAGTACATCATTTCAGCAGCCTCTTCTTCCTCTAATGGTCTACAGGTTTTGACAGCTTCCATGTCTCTTCCTGTATTAAATAGAAGTTTTTTTTTTTTAAACTAGAAGTCTGAGATTTTGAATGTGACTATCAAAATCTTCTTTTTAATTTATGACACCTGGGAGAAGGCTCAGTTGGAAAACTGCCAGCCTTCTGAGCTTAAAAACCCTGAGTTAAGAGTCTAGAACCCACATTAACACAACTACAAGACAAGACAAGTTTTGCTGATGTATTCTTAGCTTTGGAGAGGGGAGACCGTGGGCTCATTGGCCAGTCAGCCATAGCCCATTTGGCAAATTCCAGAGCACTGACAGATACTAAGGGGTGCTAAGAATAATGCCAGATGGATATCAACTGATACATAGGCTTTCCCTCATTCCTTCTCTCTAAAAATCCCAAAGGTTGTTTTTTTTTTTCTTTTTTTTCTTTTGAAGAGAAACATTTAAAAATGTTTATTAGTTCTTCAAGAGTTTCATTCTATGTGTTTTGATTATATTCATACCTCCCCCAACTCTTTCTGGATTAACATCTCTTCCCTTCCTACCCAACATGATATACTTTTCTATTTTTAAATCCTTTAAGACAAATTTGTACTGCCCAAATATTCTTGGATGTATGGTCTTGTACCAGAGAGTGGTCAACTTATCAATGGCTACCTACATACACTCATATAGAAAACTCTTTCTCCTTCCCAGCTGCTAGCAATTGCCAATAACACCACGGTTTGGGGTGGGATTGTGTGCCCAATTCCTGTCTCCATGCTGGAATTTGTTTTGGCTTGGGTTTGCACAGGATTGGTACAAGCTGTCTCAACTGCTCCTCTTCTTAAGAGGTTTTATAGTTGCCTAAGTTACAGGGGAAAATGCCTTTTAGGTTTTAACAAAAATAACAAAAAGATGTCAAATCATTTTACTAGTTTACCTTGCTTCATAAATGAACAATTTGAACATAAACTACTGCAGCTGCTTCTCCAATCAATACCCCAGATTACAGCTTGGTAGCCATAGGCTCAGAAATGCAAAGCCAGCCATTTCATTATGAAAGTGTAATGATTAGTGAACAAGAAATGAAACGACCTCATTTTAAGACAGCCACGGAGAAATAAAATAAGAATATGAGGTTTTACTAGGGCTTAAAATTTCAATTATCAGAATGCTATAAACAAAAGGGTTTTCTTGTATATATTAACTTCTAATCTTTATTGTTTAGTTGTAGTATGACATATTTTTGAGAGAAAGAAACAAATGGATGAATAACAGATCACATTATTGTTTTCACAAAGTAAAAAAAAAATGCAAAATTTCAGTTAAAACAGAATAAACAAAGGAACTGTTTCTCTTTAGAATGCTCTAGCTAGAAGCTTTGAAAATTCATGGATTTCTTACAAGTAAACCTTCAGCTGATAAATGAGTCTCAAAAACTAGAAATTCCTTCTTTTAGTTGACAGATTTTAACCCCTAAAGATTCTCTGGAATTAGAGTCACACTTTTATGAGGCTATATCAAGAAAAATTAAGCTCAAGCCTAACGTGGAACCTCATGCATGACCTTAGAATGCTCAGCCATGCTACCAATTTGTGTTTGTAACAGACTGACGTAATTTTTGAAAGCAGAAGTTGCACTAACATAAAATTAAGCAACCAAGGAACAAAATTTAAATTCATGAGAACCAGAGAGAATTGCCTTTCATCAAAACTGCCAGAGTTTACAAAAAAAATCCTTGCTGCGTATGTTAAAACAACATTAAGCTTACGTTTTATAAACTTCTCTGAATTCCCTTTAAGTGAATTTATATACTGAAAGAAAGACATAACTCACAATAATAGCTTGTTAATACTGAAAGAAGCAAGCTGTGTTTTTAAGAAGAACATTAAACAGCTGTTTGGAGATGAAGGGAGTCTGTAAATCAGGGCAAATTGGTTTTATCCATGTTTGGATTTCATTAATTAAGTGTTTTAGGTACTTTATGAAGCTAATGTTTACTACACAGCATTGCTCTCTCACTCCAGTGAGCACTGCCATCAACCAGTGGCTAGTAATGGTCTCCTTAATAACAAGAGTTTAACTTAATCTTGTGCAGTTGGGAGGCACTGCTTAGAGGGAGGGAAAATGTTATTACAGGTGACAGCAGAAAGGGAAATGCCGAAAGTGGACCTGAAAAACCGATGAGCATTGAGTGAGCAGAGGCTCTATCCTATTCACTCTAGCTCATCTTGACAGGTGATCATTTCCAACCTATGTCTTATGCTTGCTTCTAATGTTATTAATAGACAGGTTAGTCTATGGATGCTCTGTTAGTATTTATTCTAATCAATGTCTAGTCACACATTCTTGTGGTTTAAAGCCCTAAGCTAAAAAAATGGCACTTATGACAGATTAACAAAGCATTTGTGTTCAGGAGGAAATAGAGAGCCATAGAGAACGCCTGTCGCCCAGCTGTGTCACCTGATGATGTCCACCTTCACCTGTTTGACTCTCTGAGCTTAAGAATGCTTCCTTTCTTCAGCTAGCACATGGCACGGGGGCAGGAAAGAGTGAAATCATGAATGGAAGTGAATGAACCCTGGAGTTTGTGGAGATGAGCATTTACAGAGCATTTTTGTCAAAAAAAAAAAAAGACATGCTAAAAAAGGAAAGAATCCACATTTTTACTGAACTGCTAAAAGCTATGTTCACTATATATAGCTTCACTTGAGAGAGAGAGAGAGAGAGAGAGAGAGAGAGAGAGAGAGAGAGAGAGAGAACAGCATTCTCCATCCTCCACCTGAATAGGAAATCCAAAAGAGTTTTCTTTGGTGAGCCAGTTGGTAAGCGGGTAAGCGCTCTAGCTTGTTTTAGTGGGGTTCTGGAAAGCAACTTTGACAATCACTCATTGCAGGCCAAGTATCATGGTGCTAAACAAGGGGTCTTTAATTCTTCCTTTCCTTGAACCACAACACCACCACCATAAAATCATCCTTTTTTCAAAGCAAGTATTTTTTTTCTACTTCCTCTGTAGAACAGTTTTTAAAATTAATTTCATCTACCCTTATTATATCACCGGTCAATTTTAGCAAAAGGTCCCTGCTAATTATTTGGCATTCACATTAGCCTTCGGTATAGCTTGGGAGGTGAATGGATTTTTCCAGCACAAAAGTCATGTACATTTTTTTTATTGATACCTGAAGGCCGTTGTGAGCCACTTCAGGTGGCCTTACCACTAAACAGGAACTAAAATATTCTTGGCCTCACACCCTAGCACACCTGACTCTAAAATACTGTAAGTACAGTAACTTAAGTAAGCTATACAAACTCTCTCTGTGTTCTTTTATAATAAATTGCTGCTTGACTAAATAGTATTTAAATATTATTTCAGTGGCTCCTGTGCTAATATATAATGCCTCTACAGTTCCCAATCTAGATGTATATTAAATTAATGCTATGATATTTTTTGGTGTATAATATACTTAAACAACTCTTTGACTGAATTTTTGGTGAATTTCAACTGGCTTTGTTCCCCTACAGTGGCACTCAAGGTCTGGAATACACTTTGTACTGAAAAAATGGACTTGAATTGGACTTGTTCAGTGTAATTAATATTAACAGGGAAACCAAACAACTTTTATTTTGTTTTACATTCTCAAATAATTCTACTAAGTAATTAATAAAAATAAATATTTTTTGTCTCAACCTGATTAGTTGAAAAAGTTAGTCTAAGGTGTGATAAAATTGTTTCTCTCGAATGATCTGGAAGCCAAGAGGTGAAATACTAGTTTAGTTTTTAAAACTTATTTAGTTAATTCCGAAACAATGACCGCAGATGCATACAGTTAAATATATCCTAAGTAGTAATTAAAAAAATGAAAGTTGGAATCATAATGATGCGTCCCTGAATAGCCACTAGAATGTCAAGTTTTGATGAATGGGAGAAAAACTGGAAAGAATTTGGAAGAGACCAGTACACCCTGACTTTACTAGCTGGAATATACCAACGTTTAGAAAATATTCAGCAAGTTCGCTAGAATGTTTAGTGTCAAGTTGACACATTGTTCAAAAATCCATAGGAATAAGCCAAAGGTAAGTGAAAATGTCTGCATTAAAAACTATCCACAAAGAGCTGTGAAAACATTATTCATAGTAGCCAACAAAATGAAACATTTCAAAGGTTTACCAAGTAAACCTATACTTATACCCAGGATAAGAGGAGAATATGGACTGTGCATAAAAGAAAATATTATTTATGACTACTTCACATGGAAACAATTAGATATAATAGATTTTTATATAGGTACACTGCCAGGAATAAAGTAATAATACTTATCATAATATGAGAGCAACTCAACAACAAGGTGCTGGATGAAGCCAGATACAAAATGATCTCTATGATTCCTTACACAGTAACACTCCATGATGCGTAAATCTATAGGAATGTAGCATTTATTGGGTGAAGAGGGGTAAGGATGAGTGTGGAAGGGAATGGTCACTAATGGTCACAGGGTTTCATTCTGGGATGATTTCACCATTCTAAAAATTAGTTTTGGTGATGATCTCAGAACACTCATCATGCGAGAAGTATTCACTTATACCCTACAACTTTGGTATGTTAACTTCAGTTCTGTAAAGCTCTTAGAAGTAAGGATAGGGAAGGTCTTATTTCTATTACAATGTACTTATTACTCTTCATACAGTTTCATCTACTGAATATTTTCTTTGTTTTCCTTGATTGCATCTTGATTTAAAATGGTGAGTGTTTTAAATTTTGTTTTAGGTTTATCTGCCTTCTTTTTTTCCTTGAAAAAAATTCCAAATACGTTTTGTGGCGGTACATAGAGACTAATCTAATTTCTGAATACTTACCGTCCATGTGACTTGAACAGTTGTAGGTGTCAGAACAACTGGAGTATGGAGACGAACGATGACATCCCCTAGTTCTTTCTGTACTTGTCTGTGGTCCACTCCCTGTGCTGGGGGGCTGATATCTGTAGTTAGAGGAGAAAACCATTCCTAATTTCAAAATTCATTATTAAACTCCAGTGCATTTGCTATAATCCAATTTAGAACTAACTGCCAGATGGATTAAAATATCTCATGACAGTGGGGCAGCAGTAGCGCACACCTTTAATCCCAGCACCCGGGAGGTAGAGCCAGGAAGATGTCTGTGAGTTCGAGGCCAGCCTGATCTACAGAGTGAGATTCAGGAAAGGCGCAAAGCTACACAGAGAAACCCTGTCTTAAAAACTAAAAAGTCTCATGACAAGTCAATTTAAGTCAATTTGGCATACAAATATAAACACGTGTATATAAAAGTGAATGGATGTGTGTGTGTGTGTGTGTGTGTGTGTGTGTGTGTGTGTGTGTGTATGTGTGTGTGTATTTCATGTTGGTATGGAATATTTGTTATGTTTATCTTTATCAAAAATTTCTATTTACAAAAGAATCTTTGTAACTCTGCATTCCCACATAGATGTATTGTTTTTGGAAGATCACTAGATTATGGGTTAGACTCAAGTCTGTGCCCTAATAACCTGTCTAGAAAGATCATTTCTATACAGATGTTAGGGCACTGAAGTATTTTCAAGTTGTATTTTAAAACATATCTGAAACTGCATATCAGAGGCTTTTTTTTCATTTCTTGGCCTGATCGGCAGGTTGTGTTTTCTTACCTATTGTGACCTATTTTCATTTGAGTCATAGATTGAAAAAACTGAGAGCCTGAGGAAGTGAATTCAGTCATTAATGGAACAGAGTGAGATTGAGAATAAAACAAATGGATATTTTGCAATACTGAAAAACTTATACTGGTAAAATATTCCCCAAATATCAGTTTGGGCCAGAATTCCATCACCTAGAAAGAGATCCTACAGCTGCTTTGGTGGAGCAAGAGAGAAAAATAATATGCTCCCATGAATGACACATACTCAGCCCTAAATTACTATTTTCTTATACCCCCTTTACCTAAAAAGCATCCTATTACTGCATTCAATGATAAAATATACATCCTAAAGTCTTTATGAAAATAATTAAAAATTACATGCATTCAAACCCATCAATTTGATCTCAAACATTAAAAGTTACTCATATGCAAATAAGCTCTTTAACCAACACACTTCAATGTCAAGGTAACGTTTTCCCTAAAACTATTTGATTTCAATAAGGATGTCCAATTCTAAATGATTTATTTAAGAAATTATTCCTTAATTTCTTCTGTCTTTTCCTCAGTTTATAATGCAACATTCTCGAAAAAGTGCAAGGTGTAACTTAAGTTGAGTGCACTAACTTTCACTGGGACATAAATAATTAGGAACCACATAATGTGCTTTTCTTTATTTTCTACATTTTTTCATCTTCAGCATTAACAACAAAGTAAAACATGAATTGATTTAGAACAATACGTTCCTTTATCTGAATGCTATTAACCTTTGCTGATGTATGTATGGCCTACTGTGATATTTACCTAAAAGTATTTAGGAGGTTTAATGAAGTAAATGATTTTCAAAGTACATGGTCATGAAAGCCTTTGAAAACTCAGACCTCAAAAGCCAATACGTTCTTTGAAAAGGAGTGCTGTGCAGATTTCCAAACAGCTGAATGTGTGACATCAAAAATGAGGCTGACATTCAGACACAAGACATGGGTTTTCCTATTAAGTATCTGTTAAGAGAATATAGGTCTTCATCTCTTTGAAGTTTCTCAGCTGGAACAAGCAAGCTCACAAAAGAACTTCATTAATCTTTGTTGATCTTTTCACTGAGAGTTTTATTTTGAATCAAGTTTTAGTGACTGGTACAGTTACTGAATATCATGAGGGTGTGCTGCCCTCTGTCACACCAGAGGTTTCCCAACCTTGTTCCTCTTCTACCTCCAACTGCAGCTGCACACACAATGACCACAATGACCGCTAACCACATAGGTGGCGCTAACGGACATTCTCAAATTTCTTGACTTAAAAAAATCACACATCTCTTCTCTTTCACAATCAGTCATTTAATTTACTCATTCAATCCAGACACATTAAAAAGCGGTTGCATAGGGATGAGGCAAAATGTAACGACTTTCAGGCCTTCAAAGTCTTTGTTGTGCTTTTTCTCTCTCTGGAGACAGGTTCTTTACCTACACACCCTTCATCATCATGGAAAATTAAGCACACTATGGTGGGAAGAACAAAAGCAAAGTATCATCCCCTCCTCCCTCAACTGTCATTATGTCAGCCACGTTACCATCACGTGGTGACTTTATTTGACTTCATTCCTTTACTGCACCCTTCTCTGTGATAATGGCATGCTCGTCACTACCTCTGAACTACATTGTAATTATAATAATATTTTATGGCGGCATGGTGCTTTTCATAGCATAAAAATACTACTTTGAATTATATCTCGTTCAAAAGCTCTTACAAATAAGAAATAATTAACCCTCTCAAGAACCCTGTAGGGAGTTGGTTGTGACATACAATAAAGGTCCCCTTTTCTATTGTACTAATGCCTTCTTTTAGTCGTAGGATAGGAAAGGATAATATAGTATTCTGGATTAAACCCACACTTTACTGACTCAGTAGCAAAGGACAGGTTACAAAAAAGGAGAAGAAAACTTCCATTTTGAAATTAATCATTTTAATATTCTAGGAGATGTAGTGGCATGTTAGTAAGAAAAATCACCTGTACTAAGAAAAAAGGTTTATTTATTCTTTTCTGAAATAAAAATCTCCTTGAAATGACTGATGTTAAAAAAATCAAAGACAATATGGGGTGGTTGTTAAACATTGGCACCATACCACATAGAAGGCATGCTAACCTAACTCAGGGCCTGGAGTGCCTCCCCTCTTTGGACTTGAAGCCTGAAAATCTGTGTCTAACAGATTCAGGGTCATTGGTACTCCTACTAAAAATCTACACTGCAAAAGCCATTTTCCTGTTAAAACAAAACAAACAAACACAGAACCCAGAAACAGGAAAAGGAATTCTGGCACTCTTGTTCGGCATCTGTTTTTTAAAGGGTTTATTATTTTTTCTATTGTATAATAGAGAATGAGGAACTTTTTCTTCTTCATTCAGAGACTCTCATTTACTACCCATGTATCCAACTGTTTGTTTTACTTACATAGAAACTGAGAGCTCTGAAAGGATACCTCATAGTAATGCAGGGACAGACCCCAGAGAATCATGCACAAATTAGCATGTACACATTCTCTTTGCTCATGCAATCTCCATTGTCCTAAGTTGATATACCATCCCAATGCCATCATTTTTAGCAGCTACTGAAATTACCTTGTGTACGTACAGGATCCGACATAGGGCTTGGGTCACTGAGACCTTGGGGGTTGATTGCTCTGACCATGAACAAGTAGATTGTATTGGGCCTCAGCCCTCTTACAGTATAGAGAGTTGTCTTGACGTGGTTTGCCACTGTCTGCCAGCTATTGCTCACTGACTGGCTGAAATAGGAACAGAAACTGATTTTAAAAACTATTCATAATACTGTAACAAATGGAGTTGAGTGTCAATGACAAAGGTCAATGGCTGAAAATTAAACACATACACACACAACACTTGAAGTGTTCAGCCCAATAATGAAACATTTGGATGAATTCATTTTTATTCAACAACAAAGCCGAGCCCACCTAACGGAGTGCCATGCACAACAAAATTAAACTCAGCCCAGAAGATGTGACAGCCCTTTGCTAAATGCACAGCAGCCCACTAAATGAATACCTGTAAAAGGAACAGAGGCCAAAATCACAACATCAAATTTATACAATAAATATGGTCCTCATAGATGCATATGTATATACCTTGCAAAGAATTAACCTGCAGAAAGAATAAATGGGCTACAGAGTAATTTATGCCAATACATTTTCCTGTAACAAGGTGTGTTTTCTTTTGCATCAATTCCACATGCAATTTTATAATAGAGCCTTCTAAAACTACATATCTGTAAAAGAAGAAAGGAAGCATATAATGAATATTTTCCCTTGGTTACATTTTTAATAAAATTGTACATTACACGGTATTGTGATCTCTCATCTCTAAATGATGAAGTATCAGATTCTGTGTATGGACCCTTCTACAACTTGCTATAATGGATGCCATGTTAGATGCACTGTACCTAAGGTCAAGTGCTATTTTGCTAAAATTAATAAGAAAATGTGATTTTTTAGGTCCTTTTATTTTAGCATCAAACAATATCTTTAGGCATCAAACATAAAGAATAATGAAAATTACAATTTGAAAATATGTATCTGCCATTAACTTAAAAATGGAACAGAAAAGCTTAACACAAAAAGATATCATTTGTCCTGATAGTGATAAAAGACAGTGGCTGTCTTTCAAACTGTGGAAAATCAAACAAAATCATAGTGAAACTGAATATAAAAATACAGTTTATACAGTTTGTACATTTTTCTATTTGTACTTTATCGAGTTTAGATCAAACAATGTAGTAAAAGGCAATGATTTATCAACCATACCTCTGTAGTCAAGAAAACTATTTCACATATCACATTGAAGTGTTTTTTCATTCAATAACTAGAAGCACAAGGAATTGATTTCTTAACAAGTATAGAGAAAAATGAAATTACGAAATCACCAGAAAGTAGATGGATCTAGAAAGAATATTATTAAGCAAGGTGACTCACACTGAGAAAAAAAATACCTACAATTTTCCCTCAAATATGGAGCCTATCCTCTAATGTGTGTGTGTGTGTGTGTGTGTGTGTGTGTGTGTGTGTGTGTGTGTGTGTGTGTGTGTGTACAATGGTCAGGTGAAAAAATGATGGAGCAAATGTTACAAAATACCTCTTTATAGACATAAGAATAGACAATGAATTTTATTTTTAATCTTATTATTAAATGATTAATGAAAATTTATATCCAATTTTTAATAAAGTCAAAAAAATAAGTGAATTTCTTTAAGTACATGAACTTGTTCTTGTCATAAAGCATCAGGGTTGATCAGGTGAAATTGGAGATACCGTAACTAAGACAAAAGTCTAATGGAGTAATGAAACAGGAATTGTCTCATACCTGAAAGCTTCAATGATATATGCACTTGCTGGAAGAACTCCAGGTGTACCTGGTTGCCAGGATAAGGTAACACTGTTCTTAGTAACATCAGTGACCTGTGGTTTGGATGGTGGCCCCGGCAGGTCATTTATATCATAATTTTTACTGATTGTTGCTCCAGATTCTGTAGAGGACAAACAGGGTAGACTTTGTTCCTGATTTTGTAAGCAGACAAGAATGCTTGAAAGAAGGAAACATTAAAGAAATTGACTTGACAGTGTGCAATTCATCTTCATAAATCAGATGGTTGTAAGCTATTAGCTGGTTTTCCAACATGCTAATAAATATAGTCTTCCCTTTCATGGATAATCAGTGTAATCACTTGCATTTCAGAAGAAATCAAGCAACAAGGTTATGAGTTACAAATGCAGGGAGCTCTCCAGATGCCATGCTATGTGCCAACTAATGTTCAAATCTAAAATTGACATTGAATGTGACGAATTAGATTTACATCCAGTGCATGTAAAATCGTGATCTATCATTACATTAAATATGACTCTCATTAAGCACTCACCTGTTACATCCAGCACTGCACTCCAGGAAGTCTCTCCACTTGAACTTGTAGCCACACAAGTGTAAGTGCCAGTATCAGAGATCTAGCACACATGGAAAGAAAGAATTCAATTGTGATCAACTTGTAATCACTCAGTCTTGATGAGGCATTAGAGTCAATCGTGTGTGTGTGTGTGTGTGTGTGTGTGTGTGTGTGTGTGTGTGTGTGTGCATGTTTGGCACTAAAGCAACCTTTTGTTACAACATTGATGAAAAGTTTTTCAAAGTGATATGTATGCAACTAAATGTAATTTGTCTGATAAACTTTATTAAGTTCCCTGCCTCCATGGTAATATGTGCATTTTAACTTCATTTTCTTGTGGGACTTCATTGTGATAGCATCAGATATAAATAAGCCAAAATAGAATAATTCATGCAGAATTCTACATAGATGCAACGATTCATGAATGCAATGCTGGCTTTTCTTTCTTAAGAAATTATATTTCAACAGATAAAAGTACCTAGGACTAAATAGATAATGAGACTTTCACACCTCTGAGAAGCCAAATGCTTTTTAAAATATTTTTTTTCATTTAAGGAATGCATTCTCTACTTATAAATAAATGCCATCAGGGTGGTGTCCAATAACAAAGTGGTATAATCTTCAAACCAAAAAAAAAAGCCTAAAAGGAAAAAATGCCTATGGAGCCTTGTCATTTTGAAATAAACACAATCAGAAATAGAACTAAATATGCAGAACTTTCTTTAAACACATTTAAAACATCCAAATTTATAGATCATTTAAAATGTCTTTGTTGCTCATTGAAGAATGGACAAGGACTTTAAAATAGTTGAAAATATGATCAAAAGTTGTCTTTTACAAATGTAAACGTGAAAAAAGAGAAAGAAAGAAAAGAAAATCTTGACCAAAAAATACCTTGAAGATCAATAAAATATATTCAACGATCCTCCTGGTGTTTGGGTTCTAGGAGTTTGCAGTACTGACATTGACTGCCAATGAACTTGTCTGGTAGGCAAAGTGGATGTAAGTAAAAACCAATGAACAGAGTTTAAGGCAAGCAAAAGATGCAGTTCTATGTTAAGCATGGGTCTTTTCATGAAATGTGGGAAGATTATAGAATACTATACCTTCAGGTTCAAAATTAATCCATGACTGAAAGAGTCATTATTGATTCTCAGATAAATCATTAGGATATGAAGTTACCGCCACGTTACCATTTTAATTGATTTTAAAGTCATTATGTATTTAACTAAAGTTTGAAATTGCTCTAGCCTGTCACTCTTTTCTGTATTATCTCGGTACAATTGTCTTCTGTCTTGCAGGGATGATGGGAGTAGCCATTGTGGAATAAGCTATCTTTTCAAATGTGGCTGCTAGTGCATTATAGTCATTAGGAATCTTTGCATTTAAGAAGCATCACTCAGAAGCTAAATATAATGAGCTGAAGTTGGATTTTAATGGGATATTCATTTGAATATGGACTGTGAACGTGTAAAAGAATTTGCATTTTATTATAGCTGTTGAACTAAAATGTAGCACTTGTTATTCTGTGTAAAAAGAAGAGTATGTAGGTAATGTGTCTTAACTGCATCCCCCTGACATTGTGCGGAGATATGAGCCTGACATTAACTGTGGTAGGTAGGTTTTAATGAGTATTGGAATATTCAACTTCTCAAAAGATACAGATTCAGATACCAATTAGCTGGACCAGGAAAACTTAGCATCCATCATGTTATTTTGTTCTCTTGCCTTATGCATTGAAAAAAGAAATCATGAGACACAAAGGATCTGACCTATAGGAAACCTCTCGACTATACCAGTGAAGTGGTAAAGCCTGACTTAATCCTCCTTTAGCAGCATCCATTGTACAGAAAAAGAACAATGTGCTCAATTTGGAACCGATCAAAAGCCCAAATAGCTTCTGAGCCTCACTTTTGTGTTGCTATGATCACCATCACTGTGTTCTTTCTTTGGGCTTTAACTTTAGATAGGACGTTTTCTGATCAAGAGTGCTTCACTTTCTTTCTCTCCTTATCCTTTCATCCTTGACTGATTTCTTTAAAAGGAAATGAATAGGGTTAGCACTCTATGTCCCCCCTTTTCTCCTTGGACCGTTAGCTACAAACAAGCCTCCTGGGGATGGCATCTCAGAGATGCTACTCAAAGACCTGTGCAAGGAGTGAGTCAAAGCTTGCTTGACATCACCAAGCATCTACCTTTAATTACTTCTCTCTTCCATTCCTAGAGATCTTGACTATCCATGCACACACATCCTTTAATGCAACAATACAGTGAAAAAGCATTAACCTTCATGGCCCAAGTCTGCCTTTATCTCAGAATGAGGTTAAAATGTTTATGCAAGGAGAGCTGTTATGAATTTTTTTTAATAACTTCCATTTGGTTCAAAGAAAGTTAGCTAATTCATGGAGAATTTTAAAAAGCATATTAAAAAGAGCCCATGTTAATTTATTTTCCTTTGACAGAACTTGGCAATATTTTTCACCTACACAACTATATCCACCTAATCTTTAATAAATGTGTCAAAAACATACATTGGAGAAAGGACAGCCTCTTTAAAATTATGGAAATCATTGCAGTAAGCAAAATAAGCCAGACTCAGACAATTACTCCATATTTTCTTTCATATGTGGAACCTAGATTTAAATTTGTCTATATGTGTGTGTATGTGTGAGGGGGAAAAGAGATTTTAAGGGAGGAGTAATTACTTTTTTGTTAATAACATTAAGATTATATATATAAATGTATTAAAGTTTATGATTATTCTACCATTTTGCAAATATATGTATAAGTACACTGATAACTTACCATATAGATGTGTAATTGGAAATACCTTGCATCCTAAGAAAAGGATCCCCTTCACTTGAAAATGTGCAGCAAAATATTTTACCTTTTGCCCTGGCTTCTGAACATGGATTTTCAAGATTCAGCAAATTTGTATCATCTTCATTCTATCTGTCTATCTATCTATCTATCTATCTATCTATCTATCTATCTATCTATCTATCTACCTACCTACCTACATATGAGTGTGTGTGTATGTATATCACCTATCTATATATCATCTATTTAACTATCTAATTACCATCAACCAATCTATCTATCTATCTATCATCTATCCATCTATCATCTATCTACTATCTATTTATTATCTATCCATCTATCATCTATCTAAGTATCTATCATCCATCTCTTTTATGTATATGATATATGTATGCCCAGGCTCTTGTTGGGAGGTCATAGGAAACTTACCAGCTTCAGTTCTTTCCTCTTCTTTATCTATGTGGGTCTTAGGGACTGAACTCGAGTCATCAGTCATGGTGGTAGGTGTTTTCACCCACGGAATCATCTCACCTGCTGGCTCTGTTACATTTTCTGTTTGTTTGTTGGTTTTTCATTGTCTTGATTTCTGAGTTCTTGACCAAGTGCCAAATTTTACTAATTGTTCTTCCACTAAATGATTATCTATATTTTTATATATTGCCTTTTTACCTATCTCACATCTGGCTTCCATCACCAGGACTGTGATTATTTTAAAAGGTTGCTCTACTACCACCTCTGCTAACTGTGGCAGTGGGAGTGGGTGGCTTTACTATACGTAGTTGAGTGAGTGGGCTTTGTTAGCAGTGGACAGGTAACCCTCCTAATAACAGATCCCAGGGTATCACTTTTTATGTAATCCTTCACCTCACTAATGTGGAGATGAGACCTGCGGACTGGTTTCTGGTCAGTCGCATATCTGAAGGTTTCAGATATCATGTCTGAGATTTAGTGCCATGAAATTCACCTTCGTTGGCAGCTTTCATGCTTCCTACGAAGATACAAGCACTCACATCAGGAAGACCCAGAAAGCAAGAGCCTAGAGGCTCCCATCAGACAATGCTCAAAGAAGGTGGATAGTTAATCTATTCATCCCAAGCAACTCTAGGCAACCAACAGTCACACCACATTGCTTGGAAGTAAATCAATCTTCCCTTGGTATCCTGGCAAGCCCCTAATCCTAATTGACTATCACAGAACTATAACACTTGGAGCAGAAGTGCTAGCTAAGTCATGCCATTCTTTTAATTCATTTTTTATCAGAAATTGTGAGAAAATAACTGTGGATTGCTTTAAACCACTGCTTTTGCGAAAATGCTGTTAAATATTAGAAATTCAAACAACATTTAGAATCACAGACTGTTTTCGGTCACCTTTGATGTAGATCCAACTTAGCTCACTTTGAGGAACTGTCATTCTTTTCATGGACATTCAGTGAAAATACCAGTGACTCATTTTCATCTAGAGGTGTAAATGTAAAATCTGTAGCAACCTAAATAAAAACTAAGGACTTTGTTCAACTATCCAAATATCTCTTATTAAACAGTCTCATTCTTTTATTCCTTTCTTGAAATTATTGGCTGAGCCAATTTACCCATACAATCTCACAGTCTTCCTTGATAGTGAGAGTAAACTTAGCAGCATTACTTACTGTCAAATGATTTCAGTTACCTGCTACTATCCTGAACTTTCTGTTCAAGATTTGTAGCCCTGGCTGGAGAGATGGCTTAGAGGTTAAGAGCACTGGCTGCTCTTCCAGAGGTCTTGAGTTCAATTCCGAGCAACCACAGGGTGACTCACAATGGTCGACAGTGGGATCTGATGCATTTTTCTGCTGTAAAGTTGTACATGTAGACAGAGCACTCATGTGTACATAAAATAAATAAATAAATCTTTAAAAAAATGTAGTCCTGGCTGGGCGACGGTGGCATATGCCTTTAATCCCAGCACTTGGGAGGCAGAGACAGGCAGGTCTCTGTGAGTTGGAGGCCAGCCTTGTCTATAGAGAAAGATCCAAGACAGGCACCAAAACTACCCAGAAAAAACCTGTCTCTAAAAAAAAAAATTGTAGTCCCAATATTGGAAAGAGTGCTAAGTCAATAAGTGCTTGCTTTGCAGGCATGAATATCTGAGTTGTACTCCCAAAACCACTTAAAAATCTAGAAATGGTGTTGTGCATCTGTAATCCCAGCATTGAGAAGATGGAGAAGAGCAGTTACCTGGGGCTCTTCTCTACTAACTAAGTTCAAGTCCCAAGAGAGACCCTATCCATTCCCCACACTCTCTGTCCAAAGGAATACCATGGTGGGAGTGTTTTGAAGAAGGCACAAAGTTGTCCTCTAACTTCTAAGTGCACACATAAAGATATGCACACATTCAAACACACATATAGCAAGAGTTAAAGTAATACATAGAATTTTTAATTTCACTGAGGACATGCATATGGATGCACAAGTGAAAGGTTTCTAGGTATAATGTGAAATGGTTAATAACAGAAGGACAACGATTTCAACTAATCATTGTTAAGCCAAGAAATAATATGACCTATCATAAAATGTACAGCAATCATGTAGGGATGTCAGAATTTTTTCAGTAGACTGTGCAAGTTTTCTTGAGAGCAAAGCTGTTGATAAGATGAAGAGTCAATAAGAAGCCAAATCCTACGTACCCGTAAATTCTTAATCTGCAGTGTTCCTTGTTCCAGGATTGTTGCTCTTGGATCTCTACCCAGGAAAGTAAAGCCCTCCTTTAGCCAGCTAATTACAGGAAGAGGGTCTCCAGTGGCTTTACATTTCAGTAGCGCTGTACCATCTACTGCAAGTGTTTGGTTGATTGGTCCTTGCAGGATTATGGGTGGAGGTCTATCTGTCAAAACTAAAAGGTAAACACATATTCAGGAAATTTAGAGTTCTATGACACTCAGTAGTCTTGATATGTTGACATTGGATAGTAATAATAAATACCTAAAGCATTTTACTGTTATTTATAATATATTTTACCTTGTAAATATCTAGTTTATTTTCCATCTATATACATTGAACATACACCTACATATACTGCACAAAGACCATACTATTATTTTAACTTGCTGTGCATTCATTATAATTAAAATGACTTGAGGATATATTTTGACATTTTAGAAAGGTTGAATTGTATTGAAGAGCTTAGTCACATTGAAATTAAAATAAAAATACAGATAGCTTCTAGCTGTTAATCATAAATTGTTCATTTATTGCTCATAGAGATATATTTTTTTAAAAAAATCTGTGATGTAGTGCATGTAAAGCTAACCTCCATCTTTGCCCTTTGCTTTAAATACATGTGGATTATATAACTTACTACTTACTCATAGAAGCTATTGGATGCTCTGTTTACATAGGCTGATGTGTTTTTGTCCATGAAAAATATTAAACCTTAAATAATTTATATATAAAACTGTGACATTCAATCTTTAAACTACAGCCATGCCATTTCAATGAGTTTATTGAGTAGGTGAACACAGCTAAGAAAAATGAACTAGTCAACTAGAATACACAGCATGACTAAATTCAAATTTTACTCACAATCAGTGTTTACATTCAAGATAATTTCACAAAGTTCTAGCACAGTATGCCTTTTTGCTTATGGAACACCATCCTATATCAAAGTAGTCCATGTTTTAAGAAATATTTTAAATGATTTAAAAAATATAATGATTTAAAATGACATTATATAAATGATTCGAAGAAAAAAAATAGTTGAATATTGTGTTTCATTAAGAATTCACCAGATTACCCCAAAATCAAACTGATAAGCTCAAGTTAAAAAAATTAACTTTTAACAAGAAAGTACTTTGGTTGTGAGCCTATCCTTTAACGGCTGAGTCATCTCTCCAGCCATTTTTTTTTGGGGGGGGGGGGTTTCGAGACAGGGTTTCTCTGTGCAGCTTTGCGCCTTTCCTGGAACTAGCTTTGTAGACCAGGCTGGCCTCGAACTCACAGAGATCCGCCTGCCTCTGCCTTCCGAGTGCTGGGATTAAAGGCGTGTGCCACCATCCAGGAAAGGTACAAAGCTACACAGAGAAGTCCTGTCTCAAAATCCCCCCCCCAAAAAAAAACAAGGAAATGTCTATAGTAGGGTAGACATCAAAGATTTTTGTTTAATTGTGAAAAGTTTGTATACTTTATTTTTCTATATTGTACATGTAAACATGCATGTGTATCTAGATGTATATAAAATATATGTATGTAATGCATGTATCTTACTTAAATTATACTAAATACATTATATATGTAAGTACTTGATAAGAATCAAACAGTTGTAATTTAACTAAAGGCAGGACATAGGTCCCTGCAAATGAGGATGCTCTGACCCCTGAGCAACTGAATCTATGATTCCAATTACTAAAATCCTACTAGAAATCAGAACACAATGTTCTGCTTGGCACAAACCAAAATTACAACATCTTGTTTTAGTATTTTTTCTTATGTTTAGAAGTAAATAAAATAATTTAATTGAATAAGGGTGTAGAGCATTATAGATATTGTAACAAATCTGGCAATAACTGGACAAATGAAAGCTTAAAGGAAAGGCTTATGGGTTTTCAAGATAAATCCAAGCCATAAAACATTATAAATAATTTTATAATTGCGGGAGAAAATGTGTCCTCATTACCTGAGTAAAAATGTGTTCATCTAATTTGTAATGTTGTGGCATATATGTTTCAAGTAAAACAGCTATGTAGAATTCCAGTAATTTCTTATAACCTGCTTTTATTGTCCTATGTCTACCATCATTAGACACAACTAAAGGTCAACTAATTAGAATTTACCCCCTCCCTTTGTTTCACTACCTAAATAAGTAGCTCATTGCCTTTTGAATGACTCCAATCAATAAGGTAATTGAAAAGCTCCTGGCTAGAAGGCATTTCAGTTCTGGGGATGTTATGTCTGGAAGATGACCACAGCTTTCCATGACACTGAAGTCAAAGGTTAAATGAACATTTAGGATTTTCACTGATCTGTGAACAAGTCTGTGGTCTTCTTTAACTACATGTTATAAATCCTTAATAAAACATTCAGATAAGACCACAGGGTGGCATTTATTGTCAACATAAGGTGCAAAATATGTTTTATTTCTATAGGCTTTTTAAATGCTATTGTCTCTTCTCATTGAGTGGTCATTACATTTTTTTTTTAATTTTGAGGAAAAAAGTTGGAGAATCAGAGAAAAAATGAACTTTGTGTACATTAATGACATTTTTAAAGATATAAATATATTTAGTATATATTTTTAAAAGAATATATTGAATAATCTGGTCCAAATATCTTATTTACCAAAAATATGTGTGTAGACATTTACTCTGGTACAAAACATGAGAACTTTAAAAATCATTATCTTTTATTCTGCTAAAGAACTATGGGGGCCCAGAGAATCAACGTTCTTGCCAACTAGGGAAGCCTTGCTCATAATCGTTACCCTTGAATTGGGCTTCTCCTTCAGTTTGATAGCAGCAAATTCTCTGCAGCACCAGCAGGTATGCAGCCCATAGCCTCAGCATCTCCTTAGACAGTGTCTGTCTGTGCTACCCAGACATACACCATTCCTGACACAGTGCTAAACTGAGCCTTGCCATAGACAGATATTAAAAGATATTATCTTTCTATTCATCTCAAATGGCCTTTTAATCGTCATGTGAATCTGGAATATAGGAAAGGACAGTGACTTTCACCAGTAAAAAAGTAAGAAAATCTGAGAGCATGTAGATCAAAGACCCTGTATCTCAGAAACTATGCTTAAGAAGAAAAAAGACCAAAAAGAAAGTTAAAACTCACAAAAATACAACAAAAATGAATAATTCTTAATTGAAGACCTCAAAAACAGGGGAAAAAATTCATGCTCACAGATCACACATTATCTAAATCCCCCAAGCTGTGAAGTGCAATAAATAAACTACTGATGAAAAAAAAATCAGACCCTTTTCAACTGTTACTAGAAATTAAAATTCAAAGTACATATGTGCAAGTAAAAAAATAATAATTTTAGCATTCATCACTACTTCAGAATGTACTTAATTAATTTAACTTAGTGAATATATAATTAAAGTTGGAAGAATGTCATAATGTGATTAGCTAACTAAAATCTCATTTCTGTTTCAGTGATGATATTTAAAGATGATATTTCCTACTCCTCTAGTCAAATAAAATATTAATATCTATTAGAAGCAGTCATGCCAGGAAAACACTCACTGAAAACATACAGATTACATTTGTAAACACAATGATTTATATCATTTGTTTAAAATAATGCACAACTGTAAATTTAATGATCTAAATAGCTGTCTTTGAGGTTCTATTTTGCAGGGGATGGGTGGTCTGAAATCAGAGAGAATTAGAAACTATTAACACATATTGCTTTCCTTATGCAAATGCAATATATTTACTTAGGCAAAGGTATTATATAGGCATTGATGCAAATGATTCAACAAATCAAAAATTTCCCCAAACCTGATGTGTGTATGGAAATAAAATTTATTATTTTCATGAAAGAACTCAAGTGATGAAATCTCACCATCGGTAACCTCCAACTGCGCTTTAGCTAAGATGCTCCCTGCCACCGTTAAGGCCTGGCAGATGTAGTACCCCGCATCTGAACGCTGGATGTTGGTGATGGTCAGGTCCCCGGAGGGAGACACCGAACACCGGCTAGTGGGTTGCTGAGGTTGGTTTGGAAAAAGTAGGTTCTGTGGAGGAAAAAATGATAATACAGTCTCCTCAGTGTTTTTCCATCCACAAGGAAAATCGCATTAACAACAACTATAACCACTATGGGAATATGGTTGGAAAAATAAAATCTATAGATTTAAAAACACATGGTATTGAAATGATTATATGCATCACAGTGGGTTTGACTGGGAAATATTTTCCTAGTCATAGTTTGTGAGCTACAAAGTCAGCATGTTCTAGCTGGAGGAACAATTGTCTGTACTTCTTAAAATTCAGCACTTTTTACATTTAAATTTGGATTTGGACATAATTCTTACAGATTTATAGTTCCACAGTATCATATTTTAACACACAGATCTTCAAGATATTGACCAAATCGGGGTCATGAACATAACTATATATATATCAACCATTTACTCCCTAATGTTGACTAATTATATATTTCAGCTTTGAAATTTAGCTACCATTTCTTTAAAATAAACAGGTAAAATACTACTCCTGTGACCGGGCCCCCAGGCACTGTAAGGACATTGACTGTAATGGTAAGTAGAGAGATAGCTTAAGCTAGACAGTGACAAGCAATGCCACTGGTCATTGGTGTTGACCAACTTGAATATTTCAGGACAAGTCCCAAACAGTGTATAATGCAGACTGATCAAGGCTAACTTCATTTTTTTTATTATAAGTTCTCTGTGTAAGCCATAGCAGCTTCAAAAGAGCTATGAAAAAAGGATACAACTTAAGCAAGGTTAAGTAAGTTGTTTAAAATAATAGATGCTATAGCATGACTCTGAAAGTACACATGAACCTCTAAGACCTTCACAGTATTACTTTCTTTTAAAAACAGTTTACTACGCTCTCCATTAAAGCCTGTCACACACCTCAGACAACCCAAACACAAGTCCTTAAGGTTCTTCTATGAGAACAGGATCATTAATTTGGATGACCTATGATGTTTTACTGTTGTTCAATTAAGAAAAACATGTGGATACAATAAATCATACTGAGGTATGTTACTAGTTGCATTATAAACAAGGACATATCAATTTTTGTGTTGTATTTACTTACAAAAAAGAACATTCGAATGCTCTGGGATCTGTTTTGCAATATAGTAATTAATTTTCCAGGTTTGTAATTAAACAATTTCAATAAGTTGAAATCAGGAGGTAATAACATTCAATTAAAGGCACAAGACACATTTTCACCTTAAAATATTTTTACCCTTGAAGTAATGCCAGTAGAAGAGGATAAAATAGGGCATTAACACTTTTCAATGACGCTAAATGACTTTAATCCAGCAAATGATGTCCTACTTTAATTAGAAGCTCTTCTCTTTATTGCAACATGATGGATGTCCACTTTATTAGATTCAAGTGTGACACTATACGCCCACTTTACATAAACATTACCATGCTATTAAATGCTGTCTAAAAGGAGCAATGTTTGCTAGCATGTCAGCAATATAATTTCAAAATGCTATTGCCCTCTTCCCAAAGTTATATTACTACACAACACTAGGCATTTTCATACACTTGAAAGGTAATCTGAGAATAAACCAAATCTCCTGTGGAATCCAAATATATTGCAGATATAAAACATATACAAGAGAAGGGCCTAAAATTTAAGGGCAATTGAAAATGATCCAATGTGCACTTTCCCACAATTAGCCATTAGACTACTAATTTACATTGCACTAATCCATCAGATGGGCTAATTGTCCCCAGGATCTCTTCCTCTTCAGTGTAATATCATTCCACCTTCTAAATGATTCATTGACATGAAAAGTGGCATTTGATTGAGTTTAATCCATCATCTATATTCCCAGGTTATATGACATAGACAAAAGAAATGGATTACAAGCCAAGCCCAGGAACTCTGCAGAGCCCTGGAAATGTTTGAGCATCCTATTAATACTTATTGGCATTACCAGCATATATTGAGGAATATGGACCATTAAGTCTAGGCTCTTGGCTCTTTCTATGGACGGATAGAGACAGATCACCGTAAAAGTCGGATACTAGAAGGAGGAAAATGGAACTATTTTAATATATCTCAATTCATTGAATAGAAATTTACGGTTTGAGCCAGGCGGTGGTGGTGCACGCCTTTAATCCCAGCACTCGGGAGGCAGAGCCAGGCGGATCTCTGTGAGTTCAAGGCCAGCCTGGGCTACCAAGTGAGTTCCAGGAAAAGGCGCAAAGCTACACAGAGAAACCCTGTCTCGAAAAACCAAAAAAAAAAAAAAAAAAAGAAATTTAAGGTTTGTTCAAATATTTCACTGTTATTATTAATCTTTTATTCTCTCTTTCTTCACTCCCATGGAAGAGATATTGGTGAAAGAAATAAAATTATATCTAATACTATAAGCAAATCAATATACCTAAAAAGAAATTTATGTAACATTATTAACAATCTCTGGAACAACATTTCACTTTGTCAAACAATATAGGAGGAATACTGAAATTCTCTCAATAATTACTTTTCAAAACCATTGATGATTGTGTTAAATACTCTCTGTTCATGGACCAGACTACCAGTGTATATTTTGACTCGTCCTGGAGCTATATTATAGAATATATATAGAGAATGTATGTGTGTGAAATTATCTTAACTTATAGTTATCTTTAATCAATAAAAAGACATGTTTTCTTATACTATGCTTTATAATTCAACCTGAAATAAACTTTTTTTATTTCTGAATAACTGAAATAAAATAAAAAATAAATAAAATATAAATATAAAAATAAAAAACAAACTGAAATGAACTCCTAGGAGAAATTCACCTCTTGCAGCTTTCAGAAAGCATGTCAATATCAACTGTTGACATTTAGATATCTTCCATTACCTATCCACCCCCCGAATTTCTTTTAGAAGTTGGAGTAGCAAGAGAACATGCTGAGGAAAGGAACTCAATGCTTCTTTTTGAGAAGTGCGTGCCTTGTTATTTGTAGAGCCTTCAGAATGAACACATAGCTCATTTCACAAGGTATGTGCAGACATGTTGTTAGTTAAGTTTCCTAATTTCCCATATACTTCAAGATGGAAATTCGTATTGTCTCAACCTAGAAGCGAAGCACTTGTCCACATTGATCCAAGGTTTACTTGAGAAAATTAATGTGTCCAGTTGAGTTTTCAGAAACACCTTGAGAGATGTTTCTGCCCAGAAGGGTCACAGCCAAAACAAGATAGTTGTTTCCTGTATAAAATGTCCTTTTTCCTGTCCAATCTTATTATGAAGCAATCCAGAAGGGGAAAGGGGAAGAAAAGAGTTCCTCCACCTTTAAATGGAAGTGTGCATAAGTTTATGATCTTTTTATACTGCCCAAGACAGGGGGGCTTGAAATTGTATTCTGTGACCACTAATACAGAATTTTCAAAAAGCCATTTCATTTCTTATGTGCCAAGGATGATGCTGGGCACTTTAGATGAGATACTTCATTTAATCATACCATACAACCAAATGCAAGAAAGCAACATGACCTTTGCCATCAGAAATCTTAAATACCAGTGTAGGTTGGGGTTCAAACTATTTTATTTCTACTTTATGTTAGATACAGGGTTTTAAAAATAACACTGGCAAATAAAGAGTGCTGTGTTGGAACACTTGACATCCAGTTATTTTAGAATCATTTCTTTCTCAGAAATAACATACAGTGAGCACTGATAGCAGGGGAGATGAGGCATGCTCTGAGGGTCACTGAGAAGCCAGGTTCAGAGCTGTCAGAAAAGCAGTTATGCCCCTACTCACCTGGCTGCCTTCTTTCTGCCAAAAAACAGCTGGCTGTGGGTTTCCTTTAGTTTCACAGGGGAATGTCACTGTCCGGCCCTGAGCAACAATCTGATCTCTTGGCCTAACCACAAACTGTGGAGGAGCTAGAATTTGAAAGGAGAGAAAGTGTAAATATCAACCTTTGACAACAATGAAAAAGATATCAAAGAGAAAATCTGGTCCTGGGTGGGAAGTTCAGAGGTGGAGCAAGGCTCCATGTCTTTACTTACTTTAACGGATTTCTCACAACATAAAGGAAAAGAAAGAGCACACTCTCAAACATGAGGAAAGAAGTGAGGTTATTAGCAGACATACTTTAAATACTGTGCATCAATATCCTATGTCTTAAATACTTGCTTAGGAAAATAGCTTCTTCATATTCTAACATTCTCAAGATAAAATGTAGCTTCCCATTTAGATCTGCATTTTGAATAGGTCAAGATGAAACAGGGTCAGTATCTTAAGCAACTATTTCCTTCCTCAAAAGTCAATGTATCAGCACACACAAATTTATCTATAATGTTTTTAGGATATTGTATGAGACACTGAAATAACTAGAAGGTACACAATGTGATCCTGATTTTCATCAAGCATTTTAACAATCAAGTCTTGTAACATTAAAAGCATTGAAATACTCGAGAAATGGGGATTACATATGAAGTTAACTACTAATATGAATAAACGCTTCACTGTTTGTCCACTCTGATTAACTTCAGTTCAGTAAACAGTGGTCAGGCAATTGGTATGTTCTCCTACTGGGCACTATAAAGTAAGAAATGAAAGGCACAAGAAGCTCATGGCCTTGTGGAAAAAAAATAACAATAAATATAGTAATGATGATACAAACAAAACACACCTAACAATGATGAAGAATGTGGTGAATACAGAAGGGGGCTTCTCAGAGCACCATAGAAGAACACTTCAATCACACTGAATATGGCAAATATGCATACTGCATATAGCAAACCTAAGAGTGGAGTCTCCTGTAGTAGGGCAGCTTCGAATGGGAAATGAACACTATAAGAATTTTGATCGAAGAGCAGCATTTGAACAGTGGAATGATGAACACTTTCCAAGTCAAGTGCTCACTGAAGAAGGTTGAAGCAAAATCAGATCTACCCCAACAATGTGTAGTAAGGGAAGAAAGAAAGGTTAAAATTATTAACATAGTGTAGAAATGAAGGAGCACGAAATGCTGCCAACTTTACTGTGGATATTTCTAATCTGCATGACAGCTGCAAAGTAAACTCTCCAGAGGCTTCAGCATTTGTATGAAGATGGTAATGTTGGCATGGGGGAACATTTACTCAGTAGAATAATGCATATGGTAAGAGGCTAGTAGAATGGTATAGGTAAAGATAGATAATAATCCAAAGAATGAGTGACTCCATTAGAAAAGAAAGGGATGGGAATAAAAATCCTAATGATGCTCAGAATTAAAAGGGGTCTAATGACAGGAAACTGAGTAGCAGTAGAGAATATCCAGACACCTCCACAAGGGCATCTTCACACCATGCACTTTCAGGGAAAATATTGTCCTTATCCAAGGACTTATAGAATAACTACTTTAAATAGTTCTTTAGGTTAGAAACTTAAAACCAATAAAACAGTTTTAAACCAGCTTTAATTTGTAGAATCTGGTACATACAGAAAAAAAAATCCTAAAAACTGAAGTCTGGAGAGTTATAACAAAATGAAATGTCTAATAAGCACAACATCCAAAGGGGTGTTAGAACATGATAGCCCCACATAAACATACAGCCTAGTATATACCTAACACAAATTCTACCACTGTATAAACAGCATCATTTCCTCAAAGGGGAAAAAAAATTAATGATATTTGTTTGGGCTTAAATTTTTGTATTCTATTATAGTTCCTCTCTATTCAACCCATCTAACACTTTGTTTGGAGACTGAAGGAAATAAATTTCCTAAGTTAGATATCTCTTTATAATTATAGACAGTGGAAGACTCATTCCCACAGCATGGAGAAATTAGATCTATAGACCTATCTGAGTAGTGTGGTTGATGTTGCCTTCTAGTTTTCTGGAGATTACCTGATTCTTAAAATTTCTTGTAATTTCTACACAATTATACTGAATTGGCAGATGCTTTGAAAAGGAAAAATAGCATAAATCAATATTACATAATTATGGCAGGAAAACATTAAAAACACAGCAGTGCCCACTTTTATTTTATTTTTTTTTTTTTCGTTTTTTCGAGACAGGGTTTCTCTGTGTAGCTTTGCGCCTTTCCTGGGACTCGCTTGGTAGCCCAGGCTGGCCTCGACTCACAGAGATCCACCTGGCTCTGCCTCCCGAGTGCTGGGATTAAAGGCGTGCGCCACCACCGCCCGGCATCCCACTTTTATTTTTTGATTTTTGTTTTTGTGTTTTTGAGAAAGGGTTTCTTTCTGTAGCTTCAGCTGTCCTAGAACTCATTTTGTAGATCAGACTGGGCTCGAACTCAGAGATCCACCTGCCTCTGCCTCCCAAGTGCTGGGATTAAAGGTGTGTGTTACCACACCTGGCTTCAGAAGTGTCTAGTTTTTGGTAGATATGAAATTACAAGATGTTTTCTGTGAAAAAAATAACATTGTTCTGGATTTTCTATGTTTTGCAATTTTCTATAATAAATATATATTTTAAGAAATATGTAATAATCAGTCTACACATATTTGCCTCTGTCAACCCAAGAAGGAAAAAAATAGTCCAACAAGCATATTACCTTCATGAGAAGTGTAATGTAATTTAGCCTGCACATTCTCCTCAAACTTTAAAAACTCATTTCAATCAAAATCAGTAACTTAACACTCAAACAAAAGCCACATATTCAGCACATTGGGTCATGTGACTTGATAGATGTGAGAAAGACTAAATACTAGAAGATAAGTCCTAGAAGCTTGCTGCTGTAGGAGTTCTAACTAGTACTGCTTTATTTAGTTTTTAAATTAAAATAACCAATATAATATATAATAGTATTATCAAATAAGAATATCCAAAAGCATATTCTATTGTATAATTTACTTATTTTGATAAAATTACTATATGTACTTGAGGTATTTTTATAAATTTCACTTCCCAAATTTTTAAAAATCTTTCTTTTTTCAAGACAGGGCTTCCCTGTGTAAGAGTTCTGGCTGTCCTAGAACTCGATTTTTAGACCAAGCTGGTCTCAAATTCACAGAGATCTACCTGCCTTTGCCTCCCAGGTGCTGAGATTAAAGGCATATATGCCACCACCACACAACTTAAAAATCTTTTTAAAGATGTATTTTATTTTATTTTTGTGCATATGCATGTGCTGCTTAAATTTTTATGAATATGTATTCATATATCCATGGAAGGTGCAGGCCAGAGAGGATATCAGGTCCTTTCCAACTAGAGTTACAGATAATTTTAAGCCACCAGATGTGGGTGCAGGGGACAAATTGGGTTCTTTTGTTTGTTTGCTTGTTTGTTTGATGAATGATTTTCTAAAATATTTTAACTCTATATCCTACAACTTGGTCACAGCTTCTTAAACTTAATTTCCCAAATAAGGGCAAGCAAATGACCATACCATACATTTACTTTCTGAAAACATATGAGCTACATTTTTATTCATTCTACCTCTTTGACTGGCTACAAATTATAAGATATCCTGCTTAGTACACAGGATGGGAAGTAAATCATAAAATGACCCTTGGACAATGGCCTTGACACTAAGTAAACATACAAATAAACATTGCAGACTATGATTCATGAAGCAGTTGTTGTTTAGCTTTGCCTTGTTTGTTTTGTTTTGTTTTGTTTTGTTTTGTTTTATGCTGTACTTAGGAGGTGGAGGCACATTGATGTCTGTAAGTTTGAGGACAGCCTGGTCTATATAGAGAGTTCCAGGACAGTCAAGGTGACATAGTGAGACTCTGTCTAAAAACCAAAAACACAGACGATACTTGGAGAAAAGATCAGAGAAGAACCAAAGGAGAACATGTAAGTAGGAAAGAAGAGTCGTGCCACAGGCGATCCTGTGAGCTGTGTTCCAGGCCTGATGGGCAGCAGTGAGGTCACTGGGCATGGAGCGAATCATCATTGCAGGCAGGGAACTGTGGAATTACAATTTTTGGAGGAGACAGGGCTTTAAGAAACAGACACAGCATACTGATTTGAATACAGATATGACTAGATTCTTTATGCTAAAGTAGTTTAATATTTTGCCCTGAAAAAAAGACCTACTCAAAAATATTTTTACAAGGAATAAATCGGATTTGCCTTTCAGAATGACTGTTCTGGAAGCAATATGAATGATAATTGGAGACACTGATTGGAAAAGCAGAGAGAGACAAAGGACTAGAAAACCGGAGAAAGTGGGGACAGAACCTCTAGGTGGGAATCGCACTGTATGGAGGCACCTAAGGAGAACACGCTATCACTTAAACAGAAATATCCTCCCGCACTAGAGCACAATAGTTATTCCTGATGCTGTGATCTAAAAAGAACAGGAAATGATAATTTCCTGAACTTTTATTCTAACTCTATAAAAGATGAATACCAAGTGATTTATTGGTACTATTTATAAAACATGCCTTGCATGAGATATTTACTCATGATGCATTTTTCCTTCTCAGTCACTATGTAAGTATGCTACGTTTCTAAAGATTCGAATCACTTCTTGTTGCTAGAATTCGATTCATTGCTTTCAGTAGATATGCCATTGTCTTAATGGATCTGCCATTGTCTTAGCATTATCTTATCTTATAAAATGTTAAAGCATTCAACACAGCAAGATTCAAGGAATTCTTGAGTCTTTGAAAATGTCTGACCTACTGTCACCTGAAGTCTGGACAACAGGGAAAATGAGAACAATCACTTTTTCTTTGGTAGACTTCCTGCCAAAGATCTATATTGCAATCTCTGTGAGGGAAGATTGGTTGCAGAAATTTATTTGGGGGGTGGGGGGCGCTAAAATGAAAAACGACATCAATAATTCTTCTGGTAACACTACAGTATCAGTATTTCTGCCAGGTGGTATTGAAAATGGTTTGAAAAAAGTGCTTGGGTGATGGTACCAATGGGAGGGAGCAGCTAGAGGAGGCATTCCATCAACAGAGCACAATAGTGCA